TATACCGTGCATGCGTGCATGTTGGTGGTGCTTTTGGCTGCCTCTTCCCTCGTTCCTTTTCTGGGTCTTTTTGTTGATGCTCCCCGACAGAAGCAGAACCATTGACTGCGCCGCTCTGCAAGATGATCACGACTCGGTGCCTGTTCTGCGTCGCAATTCGTCCAGATCACCACTGCCCGGTCAAGTATTTCCAACAAACGCGTTATCCCTAACGAAAGAAGCACGTTATATCACTCAACGCACGCCACTTTGTCCATGTACGAGTGCTCGTACTAGCAGGCAAATGCCACAGGCGTTTCACCACCATTAGCCTCTTTGTCCCTCAGCCCGGCTATCTCTCAAGCCTCGTCCCGCGCATTGAAATTCCCACTCGGTGCTGCATGCCGAGCCCCTGCTCCCCCCGGCTGCTCTCGAATAGGAAGCATGGGAACATTGACGGCCAACCAACTCGCTCGATTAGCAAAAGAAAACGCGCTCTTCTCGTGAATGCTACCCTGTTGGTTTTGTTCAAGAGGCCAGATTTGATGAAGTGCACTCTCTCTCTCTTCTCATTTCAGCCATCCGTCCATCCATTCTGTTATTACCCATTCATATGGGCTTATTCCCGGACCGCCTGTCAATAACCGCTCACCACCGCAAATACAACCCTCCCTCTTTGCATACTATAGGTATCGACGACTCGACGACGACGTGCAGCCGCCCATCAAAACAACCCCATATGACCTTCCCCATGCGTGCATGTGCATCCTGCGCCCCGGAAAATAATCCCAAAGTGAGTGGCATGTGTCGGTCGGGTTCTCTTTAGTAGTACGCTTGTGGGGACCGGCGGGAAGAAAACGTGGGAGTTGAGGGCTAAATGGCAGAAACCACATGCTAGTAGAAGCCGAAAGGACATGGATGGAAGAGGTAGAGCAAGTATTGGTACAAGTGAATCGATTCCATCCCTTCGCCCAGATATGGAGAGGGTAGACTAATGTGTGCAAGATATGGAGCTTAGATGAGAGCTAGAGCAAACTGTGCATGCATGCAATGTAATGTAATGGAGGCAGCCGCCGGAATATCTCGAGGCACACATCACAAAACCTCGGGCGTGAGGAATGCATCATCACACTCTGCTTCACATGCTGATTCATATGACAGATGAGACCAAGCACGCACACACACACACACACACACATCACCATCATCACATTCGACAAGTGACTCATGCTACCTCTTCACGTCGTCGTAGTTTCATCGTGCAAAAGGGAGAAAAAAAGACTCGTTTGCTCGAGCCCGATTTATTTTCTTTTCATGAATTTCACAAGGCTTCCCGCTCCCCCGTCATTTTCGCCATCCCAAACCCTCCTTTTTCTGTCTTTTTTTGTTTCTTTTTCTTACACCGTATTTGACTGTTTAAATCTTGGCAAACGACTTGAAAGCTCCAATGAGGCCGCCGGTGGAGGCGTCGTGGCCCGAGCCGCTGCCGGGCTCATCGAGCTCCTTGAGGATCTTCTTAGCCAGGACCTTGCCCAGCTCCACGCCCCACTGGTCGAAGCTGTTGATGTCCCAGAGGGCACCCTCGACGAAAGTCAGGTGCTCGTAGTAGACGATGAGGGCGCCCAGCTCAGCAGGGCCGATGACGTCGCCGACGAGGATGGACGTGGTCGGGCGGTTGCCGAGGAAGCGCTTGTGGGGGATGAGCTCCTCGGGGGTACCCTCAGCCCTGAGCTGGTCGTCCGTCTTGCCAACCATCAGGGCCTCAGCCTGAGCAAAGTAGTTGGAGGCAAGCATCTTCTGGTGCAGGTTGTCGTGGATGGGGTTGTGAGACTTGGCAGCCAGGATAAAGTCGGCGGGGATGAGCTTGGTGCCCTGGTGGACAAGCTGGAAGAAGGAGTGCTGGGCGTTGGTGCAGGGCTCACCAAACAGAATAGAGCCTGGTAAATTCATACGTTAGACTTGGTGATTGATAGCTTGTGCTCCAGGGACAAGGAGAACCTACCAGTGGTGTACTTGGCGCTGGATCCGTCAGAGGTAATGGCCTTGCCGTTGGACTCCATGGACAGCTGCTGGAGGTAGGCGGCGAATCGGTGGAGGTATTGGTCGAAGCTAAGGGGTTTCAGTCAGTATCAACCACCACAGGCTCGTGTCCAGAGAACACTGTCCAGTGACATGTCAACTTACGGAGCAACCAGGCGAGTCTGGGCCTGGAAAAAGTCGCCGTACCAGACGCCCAGCAGACCACCAATGACGGGAATGTTCTCCCTCAGGGGGGTCTCGCGGAAGTGTTTGTCCATGGCGTGAGCACCAGCGAGGAACTTGTGGAAGTTGTCGTAGCCAACGTAGAGGGCAACGCTCAGGCCGATGGCACTCCAGACGGAGTAGCGGCCGCCAACCCAGCTCTCAAAGCCAAACATGTTGGCGCTGTCAATGCCAAACTTGGTGACCTCTTCCTCGTTGGTGGACAGGGCAACAAAGTGCTTGGCAACATCTCCCTTGCCGCCAGTCTTCTCGACGAACCATGATTTGGCAGTGTTGGCGTTTGTGATGGTCTCTGCGGTGGTGAAGGTCTTGGAGGCAATGAGGAAGAGGGTGGTCTCCGGGTCAGAGGCCTTGAGAGCCTCGGCCATGTGAGTTCCGTCAATGTTGGAGACGAAGTGGAGGGTCATGTCGTCAGCGCCGTAGTGCTTGAGGGCCTCAGTTACCATGACGGGGCCGCTGTACAACAGAAGAGATTGGTTAGCAAGCACGCCTCGACGATGAATCAAGGCCTTGTTTCAGCTCAACTCAAGACACTCACAGATCAGAGCCACCAATGCCAACGTTGATGATGTTGGTCAGCTTCTTGCCGGTGAAGCCAACCCACTCGCCGCTTCGGACCTTTTCAGAAAACTCCTTCATGTGTGCCAGGACGCCGTTGACGCCAGTAGGGCCGCCCATGACATCCTGGCCCTCAACCTGCATCTCCCAGCCGCCAACGTTTCGCAGCGCGGTGTGGTAGACGGCACGGTTCTCGGTGAAGTTGATCTTGTCACCGCGGAACATGGCATCTCGCTTCCTCTCAACGCCAGCCTGCTCGGCGAGCTTGACGAGCAGGTCCAGAGTCTCATTGGTCAGGAAGTTCTTGCTGAAGTCGAAGAGAATGTCGGCTGAGATGTCGGCCTTGAAGGTGCGGGAGAACTTGTTGAAGCGGTCGGCGTCGGAGGCAAAGGCCTCCTTGAGGACAAAGTTCTTGGCGATGTCGTCACGGTGAGCCTGGAGCTCCGACCACGCGGGAAGAGTGTTTGCGGGGGCCATGTTTGGCAGAGATCTGATGGATTCAAGGAGGTTAATCAACGAGTCTGTTGCGAGTTGCGGCAGCTAATTGAGTCGAGTCGAAATGGAGCAGTGACCGGCAACTTCCGCTTGGCTTGGGCTATGTTGCTTTGGAATTGGGCTTTGACAAGACGCAAGGTCTGAACAGAATAGAACAGAATGGGAATGGGAATGGGTATGAGGATGAGGAGAAGATCAGAGAGAACAATGACAGCCTGGCAGAGAGGGGAGAAGCTGCATTTAAATGGCCATAGGCTATGTAGCGTATAGTCCCCCGGTGAGGTAGGCTATACGATCCCGATTCGCGTCCCATAGAATCGCAGCATATATTCCGGGCAACGCGGAAGCTGAGCAAGGCAGATGATGGATTTGATGGGGATGGTGGGGGTGGCGCCAGGAGCAAAAAAAAGGGCGAGACAGAGAATGAAGCCGGGAATGACGAACTTACCAGGGGGGGGGGGGGGGGGAGAAGCTTGATTAGAGGCTGATTAGGGAGCGATTGGTGATGGATTGATTGATGCAGCAAGGCGTAAATGATTTCGCTGGACGGTTCGAAATGCCTCAGGATATGCGAGGATGGGAGAAGAAGATGGAAAAGAAGGAAGAAGCAGAAGCAGAAAACAGCACTGGACGAATCAACGACTGACTGTGGCGTCTGTCTGGCCTCTTGCTGGAGGGGAAGCTTCAGCGCATTGGATGGAGCTCTCAAGGCAGAGCTTGGCCTGTTGCCCCTCACTTAGTACTAAGGTACAGGCAATGACCTCACTGAGAACTTACGGAACCTTTGGGTGGAACTTTGAGAACTTGGTTGGCCAGTTGCCGAGCTGCTTGGCGGTTTGGTAAGCAGGCTGCCCCGCTTCACTCAGCAGATTGATTATGCATCTGGAGATTTTTGCAATCAATCAGTCAGAGTCAGTCGCGCAGTGTATTACTGTAGGCGCATGGAACGCGATCAAATCAGCACTTGCATGTGCTTTATAGCAGGCCCCTGATTTGATTTGATTCGATTCTTCAGGGAGCCTGTCATTGAACAACCCAGTACATACTCTAGGTACCTGACCTTGTCTATTTCTCCACTAACAACATAGACATCAATACAGCTCAACCAACAATGCCCAACTAGACACTCGCCGTACTTTAATCATGACAATGCATTCGAATGACTGAAACAAAAAGATATAATTATAAATAGTACCAACAATATCATCAACAAGTCAACTCTCATACACGCTTCACTCGACAACATCTTTGTGATAAAGCAGCTTGTATCGACCCTTTTTTCCAACGATGCCTGCATCTCCCCAATCTGTCTTCTGCCCCTGAGCTGAGTCCTCCCACGGTACAAGACAACAGGAGAAAAAAAAAGTGAAAAGGGTGAAAAAAGAAAACAACTCCTGTCATGATTTCCTGCTAAACTCCATAACGTATGGTTTCATCATGCATTGTTCAAGCCAAATATGGACCCCCTTCCCCGTGTCTGTCTGTCTGTCTGTCTGTCTGTCTGTCTGTGCGCTTCCATCGTGCAAAGCTCAAAGAACGCTCGTCGCTCTCCAATACGCTACGCACCACTTGCACGAAGCACAACCAACGCTGTCGTTCGTCCAACCACTCCCCTCTTGTCCTGTTTTCGCTCTCCAAATCATGCTTCTAGGTCTAGTCTCAACTCAAATTGGTATTCGCCGAAAATAATACTTATGTCCGAATGCTTAGGGGTTGTTGAGGCTGCCCACAAACGACGGATCTCTAAGACTGCCGCCGGCATCCCCGAGGCCTGCAATGGGGCGGTTGTAGCTGAATCCTTGGAACTGATCCTGCATCGTCTGTGACAGCAGCGGGCCGTCCACGTACGAATCCTGGGGAGCCTCACTGGTAAACTCCTGGTCGAAATTGGCCGTGTCCATGGCATCCGTCTAGGGATCACGAATTAGCATTGGAATTCATTCACACAGACTTGGAAATATGACTCACCACGCTGGGCTTAAACGTAGGCTCATATTTACGCTGCAAGAGTTTGTGCCAGTCAATGCCATGGAAAAACGGATGAGCTTTGATCTCGGATGAGCCATTAGCGCCAAGCCGCTTCTTCGGATCTCTGTTGAGCAGGCTGGTCAAAAGGTCTCTGGCAGCCGGAGGCACCACGTCGCCAGGAGGGAAATTCAAAGGATCTGACAGAATCTTTCTGTACATCTCGTTTGTATTCTCATCATAGAACGGAGGAAGCCCCGTCAACATTTCGTAGAGCAAAACACCCAAAGTCCACCAGTCGACTGTCTTGTTGTATCCTTGGCCCAACAAAAGTTCAGGAGCGAGATACTCGGGCGTGCCGCAAAACGTGTTGGTCCGGTCTTCGTCCTTCATGTCCAGCTTGCACAGGCCAAAATCGCACAGTGCAATGTGACCTTGATAGTCGAGCAAGATGTTCTCCGGCTTGAGATCTCGGTAGATGACGCTAAAACCATGCAAGCATTCCAAGGCGCAGAGAAGCTCGGCCGTGTAGAACCTCGACCTATTGACGTCGAACCGGTGTTCTTTTTGCAGGTGGTGGAAGAGTTCTCCTCCATTGACAAAGGCCAGGACGAAATACAGCTTCTCGGGCGATTGGAAGCTAAACTTGAGGGGGACGATGAAGGGATTGTTGATCTGCGCCAGCACAGACCGTTCGGCCAACGTATGGGCAACTTCCGATCGGGAAATGATGTGCGCTTTTCGAATCGTCTTCAACGCGTAGATTCGGCTGGTGTCCTTCTTGCGTACCTGCATCACCTTGCCAAAGCTGCCCTTGCCTACAACCTTTAGCAGTTCAAAGTCTTCAATCTTGAGCTTTCCAGCTCGTGTCTCGACAAACTCGACGCCAACCTTGATCTTGCCCGTGCCGTACTGGATGTCGACCCAGTCGACGCCGGCATGGCCTTCGCCCTTTTGGCGCTGAGCATCGGCTGCCTTTTCGCGATCTTTCTTGCTTGCCTTGGAGTCCTCGGCCACATGTTGCCTCTCCTCGAAGCGTGGGTTTATCCGCGCCACGCCCAGGAAGATGTCCTGGCTTCGTCCAGACCCGGGAGGGGCAGCAGGGTTCCGCATGTACAGATGGATGACCAGCTCCGTCACTCTGGAAACGTCAAACTTGTATTGGGTATTTGAACCTGCCCACAGAGGGTTCTCGGGGTTTCCTTCGACCGAATTGACAAACACCTGCACCTTGTCGAAATCGATCAGCGCATAGGGCATGTATTTACCGGAAATGCGCCCATGGTTAGTGGGAATCGAGCCGAATCCGCCGCCAGAAGAGTGCGGTCTCGCTCCGTTTGAGTATGACCCAGCAACGCGCTGAGAGTCTGGACGGACAGAAGAGCCCAAGGCGCTGCCCGAAGAGCGGGAGCTCTGGTGGCTGGATCCAAAAGCGCCTCGGTGTTCCTCGGGAAGGGAGAAGCCCTTGCCTTCGTGGATGGTAACGACCAAGATACCGGGCTTCTTAATGACGGGCGCTTGCGACAAGGCTTCTGAGGCGCCTACAGAGAGTGAAGAGCAGTCAGAATCACCGTCAAGAATGCATCAGTCGCGCCGGTAGCTTACCAGTAGCGCTCTCGCTAGTCGGCGTGGTGGCGCCTGGGCTCGTCCCCTTTTCATCTTTGTCGGTGATGGTGGAAGTCGACGGCGACCGGGAAAACGCGCTCAGCGGGCCGAGATGCGTATCTTTGAGTTCTGCGCAAGGCCAGTCAGTCTCATTGCCGGCGGCAGCGGAAGATATGGGCGCTGCTCGAGCACGTTGTCGGAGAACAAGACATTGGGGGACAATGGAAAAGGAGAGACATACTCTTGGTCAGCTTCCACGACATGGTGACGGTTCCCGGTGCGACCGCTCAACGGATAGGGATGCTGAGATGGAATGATGGAACAATGTAAAGTAATGCAAGATGGAAGACTCCCGGGAGGCGAAGGTGAAGGAATGGATCTGATAGATGATAGTCGGGCGAGAGGCTAATCCGGCCGACAGATAAGCAGCTGACGAGGTATCGAAAAGGACGGGAAGCAGCCGCTTCTGATGCAGCAGGCCGGAGGCGATGTGACGGGCGTGTTTTGGCCGGTGGTTGCAGGGCCAATCAAGGAACCCCGCAGACGTCGAACTCGAGGTGAGGATTGGACGGAAATCCACCTTGGTTCGAGTGAGGGAGATGGAGTGGACTGGACTGGGGGAGGCCCCTATTTTTTGTGGTTCAAGGCTAATATGAAGTGAGGCGAGGACTGCGAGTAATAATAGCCCGTTCTCTAACTCCGAAGAGACAGACAGCGGGTTAGTGGAATAGAATAACAACTTGAATAAATGATGAGGCTGCAAGTGAGGGGTGGTTAGGTGGGAGGAAAAGCAAAAAAAAAAAAAAAAAACCAGCCATGGATATATATTAATGGACTCCAGTCCGTAAATCCTTCCACTGCAACAAGACGTCGATAATTAGGAGGAGGCGAAGCACTGCCCAGTAGGTACTCGTGCCTTACTCCGTAGTGCCTAGCGAATTGAGGAATCTGGGGCAGCAGGTCGCTTCCCGCAACCCGGTCCCTGAACCTGCTTGTAGCGGGTAGGTATCAAAACCACAGGGACTGCAAGATGAATTGATATTCACACACAGATCGATAAAAAGAGCACCATTTCTATAGACCAGTTGTAGCTGTTGTATACATATAGTTAATCTGTTGTGTTTTTAATAATACTATTCAAATCCCCTGTACTCCCCTATACCAGCTTGCTGCTGTTCTGCTCTGGAGAATCGCCATGTCGCTCCCTTGTACCTACAGTCTGCAGCGGGCGCTAGCGCTCTCCGTCTAACGGACACTGTGCATGTTGCAGGACGCTCGGTACAGTGTCTGGGCATAGCGCTGTGCAACGGCTGATGAAGCTGTTGGTCGAGTCCTGCATTGCACAGTGCGGGTGTTTGTAACGGTTCGTAACGATTCGGTCGACCATTCGGCGGGTTTTCTCTTGCATGGAGGCTCAAACCCGGCTCTTTTTTTTTATTGTTTCGTGTCATGAAGCGGGAGAAGCTGGACCTGGTCGACGTTGCATTTAGGCTAGAGTGCAACACGATTCATTTGTCTGCATTGGGTCCGGACGAATTGGCCCTTGAGGGCTGAAGAGTTTCATCTTTCATGGTGATTGATTTGAGGAACAATTGATGGGATGAAAGGACTAGACAACTTGACGTGCTCTGTACAATTTACGACTACAGGGACCAAGTAAGGCAGTACATCAATAATACATCAACAAGTACGAGCAAGTCTGTCTTACAGCACCATGACCAAGCTGAGGATGATACGTCATGGAGGGATGAGCAGCCGTTCCTGGTTCCACACCCGATACACCATGGCGATGGCAAACCACAGAGCGCAGCCACGGACATGCGTAATGGGTGGGTGGGCAGCCAGTGGCTTGTGACTGCGGCGCTTTTGCAATAACTACTCCTCGTATGCGTATCTACCTACGTATGCCTCGGTGTTTTCCGTATCATCATTCTTTTTTTTTTTTTGTAGATGAGCAGATGGAGGCTGCGCGTATCCTCGTTGGTACCTTTGTAAGTCCAAGTCCGTGTACATGTGTATTGTGGATATTTGATTGGTGTTGGTGTTGAACACCAGTTGACCAGCATGAGCGTCTCTGCATGTGATAGTCTTGACTTTCAAAGGAACCGCAGCCCGCCAGATATGCTATACTGGGGTGTAAAGTGAGGTCCAGTGGTATTTAGATGAGATGGGATGAATTTGTCTCGATGCAGATGCATATATCTCTTGTAATATTTTACACGCTTGTTATGTTAGGTACCTACTAAGTGATAGGAACACATCTTACTGAAACGCCACAACATCAAGTAACAGGAATAAATACCCAGCATATGCAAGATCAGATCGCTACGTTATGCGCATCTTTGAGAAACAATTTGAATGAGATGAAGGAATGTCAATATAACGCATCGCAATCACTAATTGATCAACCGCATCTGCCTCTCGACCAAATTTTCATTCTCCAATGTCGCGTCGCAACTTTTACAATAAGCTCGCCTACCCTACAATTGACGGTACCAGTAAAAAAATGCCAGATTCCCCCCTTTTCAAGTCAAAGTGGGCTGGTTCAGAGACGCTGAAAAGGTACTTGCACAATAGCGCATCTTGGGCGCCACGTCACGCTGTTTGCTTGTACCTTTTATTGTCTAGCAGCACTGACCACAAGGCGCAAACTGATAGCTGATGCCTGACATACCAGGCTCCAACCTCTTCCTGGCTGACCACCTGGCAATATACCTGGCTCGTACCTCGATAGCGCCAGCAGGACACATTTTCGAGAAGCTGGTCAAGCCCAATTGAAAGCTGCCGTGTCTGCTGCAAACCGACTCCCGACGACGACAACAAGCTCCAGAGACAGCAGACTCTGCCCGGCTCGTCTTCGCCCAGCAATTGTTCCACCGCCTTCGACATTCCGCTCGGCCTCGGCGTCATATGTGGGAGCTTGTCGACTTCGATTCACCCCGCGATCTCCTTCACCCACATCCTCTGTCGACTGCGACCACGACTTTGTCCACAGCTGCGAGACCGGAGCCTTAGAAGGACCAAGCCGCAAACATGAGATTGGACGTCAAGGTCAGTTGCCAGCACATTGGGCCCTCACCCCGCCTTGCGACCAGTGTCTCTCTCCCCTTGTCCGCCTAGCTGGCTTGAGGCCGAATCGCTGGCCCTCCGTCTGTCAAAACGATGCCCACTGACGGAGCTTACCCCTTCGCTTCTACAATCATGTTACTGACTATGGCTTCGTGACAATAGCGACAGCTTTATGCCCGCAGCGAGCGGGTCAAGGGCATCGACTTCCACCCGCAAGAGCCATGGATTCTCACCACCCTATATAGCGGTATGTCACAGCACCTGAGATGCAGCATTGAATCAAGTCGCCGCTAATACGCCTCTCTTCTCCTCACAGGCCATGTCAACATTTGGTCATACGAGACACAGCAGATTGTCAAGTCTTTCGAGCTTACAGATGTCCCCGTTCGAGCTGGTCGATTCGTTGCGCGAAAGAACTGGATAGTCTGCGGATCAGATGACTTCCAGCTGCGAGTCTACAACTACAACACCTCCGAAAAGATCACCTCCTTCGAGGCGCATCCCGACTACATCAGAGCCATCTGCGTGCACCCCACGCTACCATTTGTTCTTACCGCCTCCGATGACATGAGCATCAAGCTCTGGGACTGGGACAAGGGTTGGAAATGTGTCCAGGTCTTCGAGGGCCACAGCCACTATGTCATGGGACTCGCTATTAACCCCAAGGACACCAACACCTTTGCCTCGGCCTGCTTGGATCGAACCGTCAAGATTTGGAGCTTGGGATCGGGCACCGCCAACTTCACCCTCGAGGCCCATGAGACCAAGGGAGTCAACCATGTCGACTACTACCCCCACTCCGATAAGCCCTACCTCCTCACCACATCCGACGACCGAACAGTCAAGATCTGGGACTACACCACAAAGTCCCTCATCGCCACTCTCGAGGGACACACCAACAACGTCTCCTTCGCCTGCTACCACCCAGAACTGCCAGTCATCATTTCTGGTTCCGAAGACGGCACCATCAAGCTATGGCACGCCAATACTTACAGACTGGAGCAGTCGCTTAGCTACAGCTTAGAAAGAGCTTGGTGTGCCTCTTACCAGAAGGGCAAGCAGGGTGTTGCCGTTGGATATGACGATGGTGCTGTCGTGATCAAGCTCGGACGCGAGGAGCCCGCCGTGTCCATGGACCCATCCGGCAAGCTGATCTGGGCCAAGCAAAACGAAGTCGTGTCCTCCATCATCAAGGGCGATGCCTCTGTCAAGGACAACGAACCCATTTCATTACCGACCAAGGATCTCGGAACTTGCGAAGTGTACACTCAGACGCTGATTCACTCTCCGAATGGCCGATTCGTTGCCGTCTGCGGTGACGGTGAATACATCATTTACACAGCATTGGCCTGGAGAAACAAGGCCTTTGGCTCTGCCATGGACTTTGTGTGGGCCTCGAAGGAAAACAGCAACGACTTTGCCATCCGAGAGTCGGCCATGAGCGTCAAGATTTTCAAGAACTTTGTCGAGAAGAGCGGAGGGCTGGATGTTGGATTCCAGGCCGATGGCCTTACTGGAGGTGTTCTCTTGGGTGTCACTGGACAGGGCGGCGTCTCCTTCTTCGACTGGGCTACTGGTGGTCTTGTTCGCAGAATCGAGGTTGAGCCTAAGCAGGTCTACTGGTCAGAAAGCGGCGAGCTGGTAGCCATTGCCTGCGAAGATTCATTTTATGTCTTGCGCTTCTCCCGCGAGAACTACGTCGAGGCCGTTCAGTCAGGACAAGTTGAGGAAGATGGCGTTGAGTCTGCCTTTGAAGTCATCACCGATGTCAACGAGACGTAAGTATTGGCTGATTAGTTCCTCTTTACGGGTGAACTCTTGTGACTAATATTTTGGGTACAGCATTCGAACTGGTGAATGGGTTGGCGACTGCTTCATCTACACCAACGGCACAAACCGACTCAACTACCTCGTCGGTGACCAGACCTACACCATCTCTCACTTCGACAAGCCCATGTACCTCCTTGGCTACATCCAGAGAGATTCTCGCATCTACCTTGCCGATAAGGATGTCAACGTCACCTCCTTCGCTCTGTCACAGCCCGTACTTGAGTACCAGACGCTGGTTCTGCGTGAGGATATGGAGACGGCCGCCGAGTTGCTGCCAACTATCCCGGCTGATCAGCTGAACAAGGTTGCACGATTCTTGGAGGGCCAGGGGCACAAGGACCTAGCTCTAGAAGTTGCAACTGATCCCGAGCACAAGTTTGAGTTGGCATTGGCCCTGAACCAACTCGCCATTGCTCTGGATTTGGCCCGACAGGCTGACGCTGAGCACAAGTGGAAGACTGTCGGAGATGCGGCCCTGACCGCGTGGGACGTTGGTTTGGCTGCCGAGTGTTTCACTCACGGCAAGGACCTTGGATCTCTCCTCCTTTTGTATTCATCAACAGGTGATAAGGAGGGCCTTGCCAAGCTGGTTGCTCAGGCTGAAGAGGCAAATGCCCACAACGTGGCATTCTCAGCATCCTGGTTAATAGGTGACATTGATCGATGCGTGGAAATCCTGACCAAGACTGGACGATCAGTAGAGGCCACTCTGTTTGCTCAGACATACAAGCCCAGTCTGGCTACATCCGCGGCAAAGGCTTGGAAGGAGAGCCTGGAGAAGAACAAGAAGGGCAGGGTAGCCAAGCTGATTGGTGTCCCGGATGACGATGCTGAGCTGTTTCCCGAATGGGACGAGTGGCTGAACCTGGAAACCGAGGGTGGCGTGGCCGCCGATGTCGATATTGCGACACCCGAGGAGGAGGCCAAGGAAGAAGAAGAGGAAGAGGAAAAGGACGAGGAAATGCAAGAGGCTCAGGAGGAGGTTGAGGAGGCGGAAGAGTAAAAAGCGCAAGGGGGCCAATCGACTACTTAGATGGCGTAGAAGAGGGATTTACGTGAATATGATATTCCATGTTTTTGCTGCGTCCTGCACTGCACCAAAACTTACAAAGAGCTGCATGGTTGGGAGGTTGACTGTGGGGGTAGTCGGGCTATTGTCTGGTTGAATGGGTATTTAAAGCAGTTTCTAATACGTTGATTAATTCTGAGCATTTGATGGGGCATGATTTTGAGTGACGGTTGAAGTAGGTATATCAACATCTGGCTTGAAGACATGTATACGTGTTGGTGATATGGGTCTACATACCTATATTGTCCATGTTCTTGATGTATACAAGTATTGCGAATTGTATACAAGTATTGCGAATTGAAGCTGGGGAAATTCATGCGACCCTATGCAGCAAAATGATACCAATCTTTTGTGTACGTGTATGTCGATTCGGTTCTTATGATAGCGGGTTGATTTAAGCGGCCCTATCCACAAAGACTTACACTCACAAGTGGTAGCTGAAGAATCATATTTCTCAAATGATGACAACTCTATATGCCATTGATGGCTCATTTTTAAGTAGTTTATTAACCTATTAAAATAGTTACAATGAAGTTCCTTCGCAAGCGGATCCATAATCATCAATTAGCATGTTCCAAGCATGATTCAATCTCGCCACGATGATATACATGATAGAAATGTCTCGTTTCATCCTTTCGGTCCCAATGAAGTCGTTTACAGAATGGCAGCAATGCCGGCAGCAGCGAGAGCGGCGATGGCCATGCCGGTCTCACGAGCGGCAACGCCATTGGTAGACTTGGGCGCATCTCCAGCCGTCTTGGAGGCAGAATCAGCACCGGACTCAGTGGGAGCAGCAGAGGCAGTATTGGGGCCAGAGCCAGAGCCGGAAGAACCACCCGCACTGCAGACGTTGACGAGGCTTGTGTAGGAGCTGAGCACAGAGCAGTCCGAGGCGAGAGACGTAAGCTCGTCCTTGTGGCCCTCGAGCCAGGAGACCACCTCGGAGCTGTAGGAGGAGTACTCGGCGCTGAGGCTGGACGGGAAGCTGACTTTGCAGGGGTCGGTCTGAGGGTTCTTGCTGAGGTCGGAGACGATCTCGGGGGGAGGCGTGGGGATGGTCTTGACGAAGCTAAGGGCCTCGGAGACGCATTTGTTGGGGTCGGTGTCGCGGATCTCGTTGATGGGGGTTGCGCGGGGGAGGTTGAGTTCACGGCGGACGTGGGGGATGGCCATGAAGTCGATGGCGGCGGAGGCCGAGGCGACAAAGGTGAGGAGGAGGACGGCGTTGGAGTGCATCTTGAAGGGTTGTTGGTTGTTGGTTGTTGGTTGAACGAAACTGGAATCAAGATATGGGCAGGCGAGTGGTGTTGATGCTTGTATAAGTGCTTGGAGTGAGTGACTAGACCTGAACTGAAACGATTGTAGATCCTTCTTGTTTCATCGAGGGCATTGACGATTTATATTCCTACGGAGTACTCTCACGACTATACACTACCATCCTTATATTAGACGCGGGCTCTATGCCGAGTTAGCCTGGCTCAGCGTATCTGTGAGCGTATCGCAACTTGAGAACCCTTGCTCGACGCAGTTTGCTGAAGCCACGCTCTCCCCCTAGTCCAGCCATCGTGCGGTAGGATTGATCCTTGGTAATATCGCTTCCCTGCAACCCGTCCCGGCAGCTGAAGTTGGGATTCACTCTAGCGCGTCCTAGCGACCTAGCTCGGGCATTGCCTATTGAAGGAATAGAAAAAAAGGGGCACTTTGTCGGATCATGGCTAGGCTGGTTCTGGGGTCGATCATGGATGGGGCTTGGTGGAGTGGTTGTTTGAATGTTGGAGGTTAGACGAGGCGTTTCAAGAGTGATAGGTTGTGTTGTCTATTACCTGATGTGTGAAGATGCAGAGTATTGTATTGTTTCATGCTCATTGGTTGTTATTGGAGGGGTGTGAGTGAGAGAGACATGGATTGAGGCTGAAATACCTGGCACCCAGACGCTGGAAAAAGGCTTGTTTGCTGTCCTTGTTTGTCTGCCTCAGCTGAATGACCAAAAACCTGAACTGGGCGGTTTCTGGAGTAGCAGCCGCAGAGCGCTAATTGAACATGCATGAATAGAAGCATCAAAGCTTGACTGGTCTCTTCTTGGCGCGACTCGGAGGGGAGTTGGGCCGCATCAAAGTAAGCATTGGGACTGTCACTGACTCAACTGCTTTCTCTCTGCCTTTTCCCCGGTTCTCGCTGGTTGTGCTATTTGATGACGGTGGGCTGAATGGAGGGATCGCCTGCGCCAAGTCTTGGGTCATTGCCAGATCGGGAAACAAGACGGATTAGGGCTGAGCCTGAGATTCTTGGCTCTTTTGAAGTCGGCTGTTACTATTTCCTGTCACCAATAAAAGAGAGATTCAGCGGCAGACCGCTACTTGCCACATGAGAAGATGTTCTGTGCATACGCTGCCTCGGTAGGGTTTATTCCCCCAACTCTAGGCTATTGGTCTATGGGTTATACTGCCTCTGCCTCTGCCTCTACCTCTTGATTCGACTTCTTTAGCCTCTCTACAATTGGCGACACGCTTTCCTCCCACCAGTCAGATAGGCCGCGATATTCTGCAATCATTCGAGGCGTATTCTCCAAATCGTCCAAAGCCTCGACCTTTGCCTTGTGATCGACGAGTACCTTGATACCCCTTTTGTATCCAGCCAACGCAGCCCAATGTAATGGGGTTGCCTTGTTTTGATCTGCCGCCTCGATTTTAGCACCTGCTTTGATAAAATCTGGTATGATGTCTGCCAAATCCTTGGTTATGGCTAGCAAATGCAAAGTTGTTTTACCCCATTTATCAGCGGCGTTTATATCGGCTTGGGGCGACTCGATGAGCACGCGAAGACACCTTTTTGCCTTCTCCCTATCATCATCATACTGTGTGGCACAATGCAAGGCTGTATAGCCCTTATTGTCTCTGGCTTCCTTATTCGCCCCCTCGCTGACGAGCCGTCGTATATTCCCCGCATTGCCGTGAAGCGCCGCATAATGCAACGGTGTCCTGCCTTCGCTATCCATCTCATTAACTCCAACCCCAAATTCGACAAGGTGTCGTATCATGTCATTGTTGTCAATTCCGCGGCTTGCCGCATGTAGTAGCTTTCCTGGTAAACATATCGCCCCGGAAGGAGCATCTGCTCTCATCTTCCTCAGATGCTCGAAGATGGCTCTGTTTCCCGTTTTTGCAGCAAAATGCAACGCTGTTGCTCCTTTCACACGAATCTCTTGGTCGGCGCCTCTCTCCGTGAGTAACTCCACAATGTTTTGCTTCTCCTTTTGCACCGCACGAAGCAATGGCGTTATGCCTTCGTCATCCAAGTCATCTATCTTTGCTCCTGCATTTAGGAGAGCCTTGACAATCTCGACATCATCCATCCCACAAGCAATGTGGAGTGGCGTACGATTCTTACCACCGCCTTTGGTGTTGACTTCAACTTTGAGTTTAGGTTTGAGTTCAAGTAACCGTTTCACAAAATCTTTTCTGCCGGATTCAAGCGCAATGTGAAGCGGTGTTTTGTTTTTGTGATCTTTGGAGTTGACATCATCTACCCAGTGGTAAATTGCCGTAAACAGCCCCCCCATGGCCGCCATGTGAATCGCTGTTTGTCCATGAGTGTTTCGCAATCTTCGATTGCCGTGTTTTTGTAAAGTCTCAACGGTCTCGATAGACCCCTTGGGTGCCGCTTTGTGAAGGGCGGTGTCTCCAAACCCGTCAGCGATATCAATGTTGGCTCCATACTCTAGCAGAGCCTTGACTATCATGAAATGGCTCCCCTCTGCTGCACAATGAATTGGAGCTGTACCATCGCGACCTTGTATATCGAACTGGGCGTCTTTTTCGAGCAAGAACCGGGCCATCTTGATGTTGCCGGCGCGACAGGCGTAATGTAGCGGTGTCCATCCTTGTATATCACACGCATTTATACCACTGCCCCCCTCGATCAAATGCTGCATATTGGAGATGAATATCTGGGATTGCCCCTGATCTTCGGAAATCAAATCTTCGCCAAACGCCGCACAAAAGTGAAGAGGTGTCCTATCGAAGATATCTTTGTCTTTCTCTTTCCTCAAATCCTGATCCTCAACGCCGCTTTGTATCTTGCTGTAGACATTCGCTGACCTGAGTAACAAATCTGGGTATGTAGATTGGAAGTTCTCCTTGATGTTCCCACCAAGCAATATATCGCCTTTTCCCAATCTGTATAGTGACTCTAGATTCTGCTGAAGCTCTGCGTCGACGTTTCTCATTGTCCACTCCAGCTGATTCTTGAGATCAGAGTGAGAAATCGTCGAGTGATAATCTTTCTTGCAAGCACTAATCATATCTTCGATCGCTTCTTTAAACACCACCAAGACTGCAACAGCTCGGACATAAGTATAACTTCCGACTTCAAAAGTTCCCAAGTGGTTGCCAAGCTGCAAGTATACTCTGCTCGCATCCTCCCACGCCTGGTGCTTCTCGAATTCTTTTGCATGGTCTCGCACCATTTCAACGATGACATCCAATGCAGGCAGTTTTTTCTGCATGCTAAGAGGCGAAATGATGCTGATAAAAGCCTCCTCTGTGCTGCATAATCTTGTGCTCTGGATAGCCATGGCCAATTTGGATATTTCATTGTGACGGAGAGCCAGGCCTTTCCATGGGTCGCGATTATCTAACGTTGCTTGCGATGAGTGTATTTTTATCTTGCCGTCAATAGATCTCTTTAGCGATTTCACCGCGGCCCACATGAACGTTGAAAACATGTCTTTGGCGTATAAGCGTTCCAATGGGTCTTGAGATTTGATGAATAGCAGGCCGCTGTCTTCCCCTTTGATGTATGCCGATGGTTGACCGTCTTCTTCTTTTGGATCTTCTCTTTCTTCTTCTTGATAAAATATGTTCTTTTCTGGTAATCTGAACTTCCACCTCCCTGGCCGAGACTCCCTGTAGTAGGGGCGCGAGAACTGTAAATGGCGTTTGGTGTCGGTCTGGTCATCTTGTTCTAATACCACTCCCCTCTCTGAAAATAATATGAAAGATTGTGATTCCTCTTCTGGTGCATTATCGGATTGCCTCTGTGGTTGTTGGGACACGGCATCTCTGACAATTCTGTATCGATATGGATCAATGCCAACAACTCTCGAGTTTTCAACCTCAATGTTCCTATTGTCATTGATATGCTTGCTTCTTGAATCGTCAGATATATTGTCCTCTGGTTTGATGTATTTTGCTGTTCCTTTCCAAACTTTTGGCCCATCCTCGGGTACCCACCACTCGAGATGTCGTTGCAGTCGCTTTGTATGTGGGCCAAGGATCCTGATTCCCGGGTTGAGAATGTTCTCTTTGGCACGCAGCCACTTGTCATCGTTTAAAGAATTGTCAGTTTTGCCAGGACACAGTTCGATCCCATTAAGTTCGGCCCCATGCTGGTGTTTGGCATAGAAAAGTCGTAGTGACAGTGCCGCCTCGACCTCTCCTGCGTCCGCTTTCCATTTGCCATCCCCTTGCCTCTCTATTTTGAACTGAAGCTCTTGCTCGTCCGTTAAAGTCTTTATGTTATAACCCCAAGTGAAATCTTCATCATCAAGGCTACCCAGGTTATAGTTACTATGCAGCAGGTCCATAGTGGCTTCTATAGCCAGCGTAATTGTAATGGCTTCTTGCGATATTGGCCCCCTCCATTCCGTAAGATTTGCAAGATGATGGCGACGATCGATACATTTTGTCGTTTCAACAATGTCTGAGCTTTGTACCGTAGAGTTTTGGTCGCTTCGTACGGTAGAAGCAGACGTGATCCCCCCGCTTGTGAGACCGGCATTTTCCTCCCCAACAGGTTCGGTTGGCTTTGCGAGCCAAGGCGCCTTTTCGATGTTCTTCAATGAATGCGCAAACCAGTCGAGCTCAAATCCCGGCGAGAGAACTTCATACTCTATGGTTGTTGTTAACCCACGACGAACCCATGCCCTCACGGCCGTCATGATCAAGACTGCAATCAAAGAAGCAATAGAAACGGACCAATGCATTCCCCGAATGCTGATAAACTGGGCGAAGAATCCAACTAGGCTGGTGACGGTTCCTATTACCGTCATGAACTCCAGGGCTATCTTTTGATGGGCTGTTTCCTTTGCGTCTTGCGATTGCGATTGCGATTGCTCGTCATTAGCTTCCTTTGCCTTTTCGTTTTGAGGTTTCCTCTCCGAATTGATAATAACCGGCTGGTCTTCTCCTGTCCAGAGGGCAAAAGATTTGAACTCTTGATCGTTCATGGCCTTCTTTCGCTGTAACCATACCAGCCGCGCTCGCCACTTCTCTTTTGGCTGATACATGGTTTCCCTTGTACTGGTTTCCACGACGCGCGAACAGATGAACATGCCAATATTCAAAACCACTGTGCCAATTACGGCAAGTGGAAAAGCATAGCGACCAACAGAACTTCTATCTTTTGGAAATTTAGCTGCAATGCTGGAGAATTGCGTAATAACACCGCCGTATAAAATAACACAAAGTTGCAATAATATGCCAAAGCATGCGGCAAGACGTAATTCGCTTCTTCCAGTGTTCCTACATCGATTATGTGAAATATTTGGTGCATCTTGTGTAGTATTTTTTATAATGACAACTTCGTTTGTCTGATCGTTGGAACGAGTTGTATCGCCAGTTTGTGCACTGTCTGATTGTTCGCTCATGGGTTGCCTGCCGGCACTTTCTTCATCTTCTTCTTGCCTTCGAGTGTTTCTATGCCATCGTACTAGAGCTTTGATTTTACTTTGAACACTATTATTGGTTTCGGAGAGTAGAGGAGTCATGCTTTGATCGCTGTTGGTCCTGGAAGGTGGAGGAGGAGTCATGTTTTGATCGCTGTTGTTTTTGGATGCTGAAAGAATCATGAGTAAGTCCCTTCTCAGACTATTTGCAAGAGAGGAGATGCACAGTGCTTGGGTGCAGCACGGTTTTACTCACATTGTGTGATGTAGGATTTTTTCACGGCATCCTCCATGCTCATTATTGTGATGACTGGATTTTTGGGCACTCCTTGACTGGGCAGCAGGCAAATGAACTCCCAGACAGGAGCTGACCCTGCGCAACGAACCACATCTGTGCCATTCCAGAGTTCGCCTATCTCTTTGGAAGTGGAAGACATGAGTTCCAGCTCGGCGGCTGCGCTGCCCTCTGTTGCTCTCCCAATCAATGCTTTGAGCCATGGCGGACCACTAACTCTAATCGCGGCGACAATAATCGTAATGATGCCGAGAGGTGCCACTGCAAGAATAATGCAGTCGGAGAGTCCCATTGCCTGGCTCAGAAATTGCATCGTAACGCGTTCTCCAAAGAGAGCTAGGAGCCTTCACAAGTCGAGCATATTAGCAAATGTTTTATCGACCAAGAAGATACCTGGTTAGCCTTTAGGAGAGGTGATGCCATACGGACTGAGGTCTGTAAACAAATTGTTGGAGAAGTCGTCTCCAGAGTCGGCCGCGGCCGGTTGCAGAAGTAAGAAGTACAGAAATATCATGATGGTTGGTAGAGTCATGGTAAGCGCGTCTTGCTCACTTCTTGGACTTTTGTTGTTGTCGAAATATTTTCAGTTCTATATGTTTGAGTACGTGAATTGTAAACTGTAAAGACAGTAGCTGCCGGCGGGATCGTATTAGACAAAAATGGATGGAGGCTACTCTAAAGATTTGGGCGGATGTGTATGGTTTAAGTACTCCCCATCTTCATCTTGGATACCACTTATTCAACAAAAATGTGCTGTTTGTTTTCCCTCCACCCGCAAAAGCAAATATCAATCTTGCATGAATTTAGTAGATACTGAGGTTAACATGATTGGTCTAAAGTGCTCTATCCATGTTCTTGAGTCAACTGGGAGTGGCCAGGCTCTGGGTTACCCACGTAATATGTCTCAGCCTGCTTCAGCCGCAGCCTGATTGTTTATAAGATAACGTATATTTTAAATGAATGGCTGGAGCTATGGGGCACACCAACTTTTTTTCATTGGTTAATGTATCGCCAAGATCATTTTGCTTACTGCACGGTGAGTTGGCCGACAAGAGGTTGAAGCTAAATTCAAGACGCAGGGGTTTTTCTTTTCTTTTTCCTTCGTATCCTCTCCCACACCTTTCAGCTCTATTCGGAAGAGGCATTAATATCGGTATCAGGTTACACATAACCTTGTAGCTGAACATTGGTTTAGTACGATGAGCATCCAAGTAGTGGCTTCGTCTCCTAGACCTCCTCTTTCGTCTCCTAGACCTCCTCTTTCGTCTCTCCAAAACTCATGGGAGAGACAATGCTTACTATCATGTTTTCTTAGAAACTAAATGTGTCGCTTCTCAGAACTGGGGCAATGGGTTGAGTCACCTCCTGCTTGCTCAATCTCATGGCGCTTGTTGACTCAACTGAGTCTCCACAAGAGCCGGTGATGGTGACACAGCAGATGGTTAGATCCGTGTGGGCTAGAGTGAACAATGGCGAGCTTGTCCAAAAAAAGATGAGCCGCACCTCTTGGGGTAGCTCAGCTCTGCGCCTCGTTCGGTGCAATGAGTTCCGATGTCTTAGACTGCAGCTAGCTGGCTGTCTTGGTGTTTTCAATCTGCATTTTTCTCTCAGTGGCAAGTAAGCTTAGCCAGTTAATGTACTTCTGTCTATGCTACTGTTTGAAGCAGCAAATATTCTTGGAAATTTCGCTGGCGAGGATCAAAAGTCTCAATATGTGCCAAGGACATGGCATCCTATGATGTTCGGGTAGCGTCTCGGAAGCCCAAAGGTTACATTCATCGTACCAAGAATTCTTTCTGCAGTAAGCCCGTAGAAGCGGTGGAAGCACAATAAGACATGCTGAAAATGTGATAGCTCACAGATTGAAGTCTCCCTGCAGACTTGGTATCTGTTCTCGGACATCAAGGCCGATACTCGTGGCCATGCTAGTTCAGGGGTTTCGGTGCACACTTCGGCTGTGTAATGATATGATGTGCTTTTGAAAGCCGCCAGTGGTAGGACAACTTGCTCATCTTGGCTGAGAGAACAGGTGCTTGGATGGCGTATCTGTGCAATGGCCAAGTCTGGTCGGTCTTGGACGTATCACGGCACCGGTGATGGCTGGCACCAGTGGACTTTATACAGCCAAATATGAACATCAAATGTGCATGTATGTTTAGTACATGTATCCAATAATACGATTGTTTCGGTAGTAGCAAGTGGCCAAAGTATGAACAAGTTACCTCTGCATGTGAGGATACATGAGTGAGTGGTCAATGTTACATCAAATATCCCAAAGATATACTAGTAGTTAATGTACGAATACATGTAGCCGTAGTTATTGGCATTTGAATTTATTCAGACCGCTTTCAAGGCAAACTGTTGATGTCTTATCTGAGTCAGGTGGCTCGAGCTGCTCCTGCTCCCTCTTCTTGAGCGGTTCACTCTGCCTCTACAAACGCAATCTTGCCGCTCACATCTGCACTCTTCTCAGAATCGAGCATCATCTGCTTGATGACTTCTCTTCTATAGACTGCAGAGCAGAGCAGCTTTTTCTTCTTCTCGCAAGCACTCATCATCTGCTCCGGGCAGCCAGCCAGTTCAGAATCTCGACGCAGCCTCTCTGTCTTCGCCCTTCACAAACGGACAAAGCCACCCAAACTGACCTTCAATCCCCAAGCAATGGCAGCATCGGGGGTTTCGAGAAGATTGTTCAACGCATTTCGACCGGAAACAACAAAAATGAGCTCTCGAAATGTTGTCCAAGTCGGGCCTGCCCACGCACAAGCCGAAAGTCGGCTGATGCGGCTTCCTCGAGAGCTACGCACCATCATTTACACCTTTCTGTTCTCGTCGACCCGCTTCACATCTGGAACGAGATACATTCCACGCGCAGCGATTATTCACTTCGTTCCGGCTCCTCATGGTCTTGCACTTCTCCTCAGCTGCCGCCGAGCATACATCGAAGTCGGCAAGTCTTGGGTTAGCCAGGTTCATTTTTGTTTTGAGGACGCAAAAGCTATGCTCGATAAACTTGCCGATATTTCCCTCGATACTCGCTCAATGATTCGCCATGTCCGGGTTTTGGGTGGCCCTATATTGATTTGTTACAGGCGAGAGGCGGCGGTTTGGCATACTTATCAGCTCTTGAAGCTTCTTCCAGGACTGAAACTTGACAGATTGACGGTGTGTGATATCGATGAAGCCCAGACTTCTTATGATGCTGTCAGCCGTCTGGTAAAGTACAGTGACGGATGGAAAGAGCTCCACTACAAATCACATGCTTCACGCTTCATCGGTTTCGTACCAGCTCGGCTCAACGAGCTCAATGAAAATGCCGGAGAGCAACGCTTGTTCCGTGAGCCACAACCAGGTGGCTGGCAACAAAAGCTCGAGGATCGCGATGGCTCAAGCTCTGAAGCTTCCGTCACTATTTACAGATCTGACATTCCGCGCCCAAACTATTCTACACCATACAGAAGTCGTGCGGGTAAGTGGATCAAGTTTACGCAAGCTCTGGCGCCCGATCAGGATATTGGAGATTACCAAAAAGTAAAAGATCCGCAGTTGATGGACCGTTCCGAGATGGACAAGGAGGTGTTGGTTGTGGTGAAACGGGGCAGAGGTGTTGATTACGAGGAGAAACAAGGGTCGCCATACCTCAACGCAGGCGACGGCGATATTCGAGAAAGATTTCCTGGAAAGACATGGGTCGAGATCAAGGCGAGCAAAGACATATTCCGATACCTATCCGCTGGTGTTGTATATCCTGACAGATATCAATGGAAGGAGAGGCATCTGGATTTTGTGGACCATTATACTCATGTAGACGACTACGTGTGGTCTCACACCTCTGTGTTTCGGGGGGCCGATTAATATGTACGAGGCCACGCTGAGAGGCTAGACATTGACGATATTGAATTGCGAGTCTGTCAATCACAACATCTTTCAACTAAGCCGCTTGTTTTACGTAGGTAGTTGGGCAAACTCATTTGTCCTGGTGTCCCGTAGACTGTGGAAGAGGTGTGTAATCTGTCGAAATACCCGTCACCCGTGTTTTGCTTCTACCAAGCTTCAAACCATGTCCAAGTCCAACATGAATGCCCCCCTCTTGTCCGCTTCTGCGACGGTCTCGCATTCCCTCGCCTTCTCGAGTCGATCATCGGCAATGAGATACTCGGAGGGCAGATCTACCTGGCCGGCCGTCTCGTCTCCATCCTCATGGCCAGGAATCATCATATCAACAACTGCTTTGGCGCAGAGAGCCGCGTTGGGCATGCCGTCGCCAGAGTATCCGGCACAGGACCGACCCACGGCCAGCCGTCGCGCGAGAATCCCATGATGCCTGACCACTCAAATGTTGGTTCAATATCTTGCGTCGATGGGCTGGCACCACGCTCGCCTTGTGCATTTCCTTGCTCACGTATCGAGAGATCCATCAAGCTGCCCAGCTCGTGTTTGAGATGGCGTGCCACCGGTTTGTCGATGGCGCTGTCATCCCACACGCCGAGTCCGTGACCCTCTGCGTAGATGCGTCCGCCGCCATAAATCAGTTCAGCACCTGGTGGAGGTCTTTGCACTAGGTAGTCATCTCTGCGGTCGGTAAGATCGGAGACGAAATAGAACGTGTGTTCAATGTCCAACGGATCCTTGGTGGACTGTGGCGGCAAACGGCGGCTTGAGACTAGATACCTGACCTTTTACCGGCACGATGATGTCTGCAAACCGAGGAAGCAGATGAGAAGTATACGCATTTGTCGCTGGGAGAACATGGCGGGCTGAAATGTCGCCTCGAGATGTGTGAGCTGTCCAGCCTCTAGACGCTGCCTTGTCGGCATCTGGGTGGTTACTGGAGTTTCCTGCTGGTAAATCGACCCTGTTGAGGCCTGTCACTGGAGTCTTTGTCTGTAGATTGAAGCTGCCGGCCGCTAGGAGGCGTTCGAGCACAAAGGCAACGGGTTTGTAAGGCCAGAGACTCGCAGCGTTCGACTGCAGTACAGCACCTTCAGCAGCACCGACTCGCAACCATTCCAATGTAAGCTCGTTCAACTTCCTCTCGCCTTGTAAGCAGGACGATGGAGATTTGCCGCCCTCCTTCGTGACCATTGAAGTGTTTGCTCCAATATCCGGATGCTTTTCCTGGATCTTTTCGATAATCTTCGTGACCGAGCAGGATCTCAGACGGCTTTGAAAGCCAGTACGACTGGCTTGGGTTGTCAACTGGTAGCCCAGCAGGACTGTCGGTTGAAGCTCGAGCCGCCATTGGTATGATGCTACGTAAACGTGTGAACGACGAGAGAAGCAGGGTTTGACAGCATTAGCAAAAACAGTGCCTAAGAGGATGAGAGAGAAAATGGACATGCTGCACACGTTTCTGTCCAATCACGCTGGTACAAGAACATCTAACCCTGCTCGGTTCCTCTGTTGCTCAAGCCAACTTTCAACATGGCGACACCTTGTTGGCCATGGCGAGCCAGTATCCGAGCTTCATGGTATCTGAATCCGTGCGTCAAACGGGCGCACCATTCTCCAGAAGGGCACAGGAGAGATTATGTACCTCCCATCAAGTCAGATCAGAGTGGTGGCGATTTGCCAGACACAGCGTCTTGCATAGAGAAACTCTCGCTCTCAAACTCGACCGCAAACGTCGAGAGTGAGTTCACTATATGAGGCTCATCAATGCCAGCTCATAGTCGGTGGGGAGAACGTACATGTATTTTATTATACTAGATCACCGTGTCATGCTGGGACTCAGAATGGGACAAACAAACATTACATTTTCTATAAAGCTGATGAAGAATTACATCTCAATCCAGAATCGTTTCCATGCAGTAGCATCTCTCTCACCTTAGATCTTCACCTGGTACTCCTTGGGAAGCGAGCCCAAAATAAACTGCAAATGAGCCGTCCCGTGCTTCCCCGTCTCCAGCTCCTGGAGACCATACTGCCAGCGCTCCAACAACAGCCACAGATAATCCCACATCTTGTACTTGTACAGGAACTGGTAGACGGCGGTGTAAGCGCTCTCCAAGGAACCTATGATCCAGGCGTGATGCACACTAGATGCCTCTCCGACGATGTGAAACTTGCCGTTCGCCGCTGGCCGCATCAGGTACGGATACAGATTGCTGAACTGGCCGGGACCGAAGAGGGCGAAAGCACCACCGACATTGGGATCATGAGACCAGCAATAGGCGTGATATACGCCCGTGTAAGCCTCTTTGATCTTCTCGTAAGTCATATGCTCAGAGTGCAGACGGGCTAGGTTCTGTAGGATCAGCTCGACAAGCTCATCCTCCTTGGGCGGCTGTGGTGGACTTTCCTTCACCAACGATCCGATGCGAGTTGCGTCTTGAGACCAAGTGTATGAGGCAAGCAGAACAGCCGGATTACCCTCGCCGTCGTGCAAGTTGTATGACGGGTATACGCACGTTCGCAGAGGCAGGTCAGTCGAGGCCGCGCCACCGCAAGTGATGCCACAGTCCTTGATCCACCACGGGTAGCTAAACTTGAGAGCCACCTTGGTCGAGTTGTCATAATGCAGACATCGAATGGCATCTGCCTGGGTAGGGTGCAAGTTGAGGCCACGCAGATCCATGCGGTCAAGGCAGCCCAGAGCCGTGGTGTTGAAGACGGTGCTATATCCGGAATAATCCTTTCCGCCTATCTTGACCGACATGTTTGCATCTTCTGGAGAGTCCAAATCAATGGAAATGGCATCGACTCTCTTATTGTTCTGTACTTTGTGGACAAGGTTTTTTTCCATGGCTTCCACCATAAGTGAGGTTCCTCCCTCGATGCAGTACCACTCGGGGTTTGTCGGGTTGTCAAAATCAAACGAGTCAATGACGCTTTCAGAAAACGCCTGATCAAACAGGTTCGTCCCGGTATTTTGTGTCTCCATCCATTGGATAGCAAAGAAGTTGTACTTGGGCTCCTCGCCCTTGGGCCCGCCTCGCTTCAGGTACTCCCGGGTGCTCATGTCGTCAACGAGCATGAGCTCATCGAACCCTTCATCGAAGTTCTTGGCAAGCTTCTCTTTGTAATAACCGAAAGCCTTCTGTAACTTCTCTCCAACACTGTCGACAACATCGTCCGGCACGGTGCCGCCATTGGCCACGCTCACCATGTAGGGGTCCACGACATCTTTGGCGAAGAAGTGATTATTGTACAACTGAGGGGTATTCTCGCCATCAAGGTAATACTTGATGAGAGGCATCCCAGTACGTTTAAACAAGTTAAAGGTGCGTTTCATGCTGGGGATGTCAGGGTACCGCATAGCACCAATGTCGTAATAGTCATGCTTGGCCTTGCTGAAATGGTGCGTGTATAGGCGACCACCAGTTCTGGAGCTGGATTCGAAGATGTCGTAAGTGAGGTTTGGGATTTTCAAATCATCCAGAATCATGGCTATGTAGAGGCCGGAAACACCAGCGCCTACGATGCACACCTTTCGTGGCGGCAGCTCCTCTTCCCCTCGACGAGCATCGCTGACAAGAGCCGGCTTAATGTTGGAATGAAGGGGATCAGATGGTAGATTGTCATGAGTGTAGCCACCCAGGAATCTGCCTTCGCTTGGAGGAGGGATTCCGGGTACCTCGCCAAGTCTTTCGTTTATAATGTTGAGTTCCTTGGCAATCTTTTCACGAACGAGTCGCCTTGCCCAGCGAGTCCGGACTGATTGGGCAAAGTCAACATTATCCATGTTTGCAAATGTAGTAATGGGATGGCAGCGATGAGAAAATGGCGATGGCAGGCCTTGAACTTGACTGTCTGGCCTTTCCTTTCCTTAGTTATATCTTATATAGAGTCTAAGTCAACACAAGCTACCAGCTCACTTGACCGATAGCTGAACTACTCACCTCCTCTCTCATCCGCTTTCAGGTATCGCCGGCCATTAGAGGTCAGGCTACCGATTTCCATGCTCAGCTCCGACTTGAAAGACATCAGCAACATTGCCACAAAGAGGGCACCAGTAAAAGCTCTGCATCATACTGTATAGTAGTACCAGACAAAGGAGAATTGCGTAACAGGAAGAAAATAACACGGGAGAGAAATCAGCGGAAAGAGACTGATTGGCTTGGCTGACGCTATAAAACAGGCGACAACGGCACGGAAGCGACACAGAAGCGGCACAGGAAGCACAGAAAACATGAGCAGCAAACACTATTGGCTCTTTCTACCAAAGCTGAAATGCATGTCTTGAATCCCCTCGTCATCAACGAGGCTCAGGAGTTGAGCTGCATGAAGTCCCGAACGCGATGCCGCCAGCCACTTACAGGTGAAGGCTGAAGGCTAGACCCTGTTCAGGATCGGGATGGAATACCTGCATACGGTGGGAACGGCCTGGAGCGCAATGGCCGTGGCTAGGTTCTGATTTAGCCTAGAGTGGAAGGGTATCAATTGCGTGTGGAGGAATGAGGAGGTCGGTCAATCACATGTGAGAATTGACTCTATCATGGTTGCCAAGATACATGTGAGAATCCAATCACGAGCATGACATGTCTCATTCCGCATCATTATTTGTGGCGCGGTCGTCTATACGACTCAATTCGGTATTATGTCAAACTTACGTTCTAAACATCTCTTTTGGCGTTACATTACGGTTGTACGACTGCTGGATATAAATTCCTTCTGAAGTACACCTATTTGAGCATGCAATTCAATCACATGCAGGATAACGACACAAACAGAAAACACTCGCTTCAAAGTCCCCTCAACATGTCAGACGAAATCTACGATGTTGTCGTCATTGGCGGCGGTCCAATCGGATTGGCAGCTGCCTATGAAGCAGCCAAGGAGGGTGCCAAAGTCGTTGTTCTTGAGCAAAACAATTTCTTCAACCACGCCGGGAGCTCTAATGATTTGGCTCGGATGTTTCGAACAATGTGAGTCATTTTGTGTCTTTTCCTCTTCTTCTCGTTTTGACTCTTAGTACACAAGACACAGCTAACCATCCAATTAGGTATACGGAGGATTACATGGCCGATCTTGCCAAGGAAGCCATGGCCCTCTGGGATGACCTTGAGAGGGATTCTGGTACTCCGCTGCGATGGATGAGCGGCCTCCTCAACTTTGGCGACAAGGACTATGGCGGGGATACACCTGAAGGTATGAGATCCCTCCAAATCGATGGTTATTGTTAACCCTCCTATCTCACAATTTGAACAGGAACCTTGTTGGGGCCAATTCCCAATCTGGACCGCCTGGGGATGACTTATCAAGAGTGTAAGTTCTGGCATCTATGCGAACGACTGTATGCTCTCATGTGCTAATCCGTCATCTCATAGTATCTGCCGAGGAGATCGAGGCACGTTATCCATTCAAAAACCTCGACTCCAAGTGGATAGGTCTCTTCGCGCCAGACAACGGCGTCATAAATGTCCAGCTTCTTTTGAGGACGCTGTATAAGTTAGCACTGGACTATGGCGCCACCGCGAGGCAGCATACACAAGTCCGGGTTGTTAAGCCTTCTAATCATACTCATTACGCCTGGGATATTCACACTATTCGTCATGAGACAGAGCCCGCCGTCTTCAAGGCGAAGAAGATCATTATCACCTCTGGTGCCTACGTGAACCATGTTCTTCGACCGAGCTTCGACATCTCTCTCGACCTTGACATCTGGGAAATGGTGTTCTCCTACTTTGACTGCAATGCAGGACCCAAAGGAACCATATTCCCCAGTACGTGGCTTGATCCATTTCTCTCGTGGGTTAGAGGTGCATGAGTTAACTCTATCAATAGGCATGTGGTTCCAGTTTGCACCCGATAAGGACGGCAGATCACAGCTCTTCTATGGCTTTCCATCACTTCCATGGGGTCCTCCGAATCTTGCTCGTATTGCCGTGGATGCGGCCACCCGGCGGATTAAGGACCCCAACGAGAGACTTACAAGCACTATTAACCCGGAGGATATTGCCGACACGCAAGAGTTTGTGCGCAATCACCTTGTCAACGTAGACGCTACCATTCCTGCGTTGACATCGAGTTGCTTGCAAACCAATGTATTTGGTGCGTATATTCGTATGGATGAATCGTAACGAGCCTTGCTAATTTGGTCTGTAGACAACATGTTTGTTCTTGATTTTGTTCCTGAAAAGTATCTCAACGGCGGAGCCAAAGACAGTGTAGTCGTCTTCACAGCCGGATGGGCCATGAAGTTCGTGCCCATGCTGGGAAAGGCACTCGCTGACATGGCACTCAAGGGAAGCTCTCCATTTGCGCGTAAAGAATTTGCCATCACCCGCACAGATCCGGCGACCGGGAAGGGTATCATTATAGAAGGTGGATCAGAGAACCGATCGAGTGGGAGAAGCGCTTTTACCTCTACTCACCAAGCATCTGGTTCTTCGTTTGCCGGCCTACATAACACTGCTCGACAATAGAAGAAAGTGAATGGGAGGTAAGAAGGCATGATGTTGTATCTGTGGAAATAGCCTGTAGGTATTTTCAGCTGGCCTATAGTCAAAAAGAATTGATGAGATACATGAGTCCTCAATACGGAGACCAATCTGAGTCTGCCTTATTGTTGAGCGTAGCTTCCTCTGTCATCTGACTTGCAAGGATAACGGCCCAGATTTCGACAAGGATTTGCCATGTCATCCCACGTGGAGTGTTTGAGTCGATGTGACTTAGCATGATACTCCATGGTGCTAAATAACGCACCAGCGCCCTTTTGGAAATGTCTTCGCAAGAGCATACGAGTACACGGCCGGATCGCTGAGTGGGCTAAACAGCTGCTGCTCGGACACTCGCGGTTCAAGTTGAGATGTGACTTTCAGCTATTAACTTGGCCATGACTGGGTAGTATTCTCTCTTCCAATGTCAAAAAATGTGCAGCTAGGGCCACGGGAGACTACATGGGTGACTGAAATGGCTCCGGCTGCCTCGTACCCGGGACGAGGTTTATGCTCTTAGACGAAGATAAAGGTACATAAAAACCCAGATAGTGCTTGTAAACTTCCAAACTACATGTACCATTCCAGAAGCGGAGAGCTTCTGAATGTTTGACTGGCTGCTTCGGGGTTTTAATCCCAAGAGAGATTAGACTGGCCTTGAAGCTGTCAAGGCTTGTCAAATGCAGTAACCATGTATGGCGGCATAACTAATGGTAGGCCGTTGACTAACATTCTCCACTGGTGTGATTTAATGTCTCTGTATACTCGTAGACCATTGCTCCTCGGCCCATCGGATACCTGTTTTGGTATCATCGTCGGCACTGACCCCTATAGCTACAGCAGCCTCTAACTTAAGACACCCTTAGCCCCGGAGTTTGAGTTACGAGTCCGTGGGAAAGGGCCATGCGTAGCTGATTAATATTTGATAATGGAAAAGGAAGCTGACCATCTAGTCGGTTCTATACCCCACGGATGAGGCTCTCGAGAGGGGGGCGAAAGATGAAGACGTGTCAAGGTTTTACCTGGAGAAGTTGGCTGTTGGGCCTACCATTGGGGATAGACATTGCTAATGGAAACTGAATCTGGGTCAACTAAAAGCAGGGTAAAATTGAAACAGAACCTCTTTGACATCTAGTTGCAGGATCTAGGACTCGCTGAAGTCTGGGGTGAAGGGATGGACTCTGGGGAAATGGACCGAGTATAGATCTGACAGAGGATAATCCAGCTTTAGCATCAATAATCAGTTGACGCCTATTACCATAAGTTTAGGATACCAAATCATGGACAGTTGTTGGTAAAACAAGTAGTTGTGACTCATATATAGATAGCTGGCTGATTTTTCAAGACGGGACAGAACGCACATGTAAGATCACCTAATGCCCGGAAAACATCTGCTATATCGTATTCGTCATGAGGTAGATGGCCTACTTCAAATACAGCTCTTGTTGCTCAAGATGACTGTCTCCCAATAACTTCCGAATCGGAGAGTAGCATCTTCCGGAACTCATGGAACGCCGGGAGTGGGCCGGGAGGCGGATCTCGGCCTTAGCCCGGCCTGTTTTAGTTCCAGACTTGGCGATATAAGCCGTCCCTCGAATCGAGACGGCATTTCCGAGCCGAGAGGCTATGCTGTCAAGCCGGAGCGCCAACTACATTGAGCTTAGTGATGATACCTCGGCCCGGCACTGAAGTTTGGGTTCGACGATTTGTCAAGATATATGAGGTGAAGTAATGCCTTTACAGGTATCTATTATCGATTCAGTATATGTGATGGCTTCCACGAGATGCTCTGCCGTAGCTGGACATGTGTAGTTTTGACTCGTCTTGGGCTGTATATGATCACATCTGCATTCTTGCACTTTGGCAGTAGCCCACTAGTCTACCGGCAGATAACATAGTCGATATATCTAGATGCCAAGACAGGATCTGCCTTGGTATTGCGGGAGGCGCTGCAATCGTCCAAGCCAAGCCGTTGTCCTCACCCAGACTCTTCCAAACAAAAAACGTGCTCTCTCGCCTTCTCCCGACGCACTAGAAGACGAAACGAGTTCGAGTTTACTCCACTCGGGGCATTTTCCACATGTCGTCATTGCGTGGCGTGTTGCTAAACTCTCCACCACGGCATGTTCGGAAGACGCGCGCAGAGGATAAATTTTCCGATGCAGAGTGGCAGCCTGGACTCTGACAAGGAATCGGCCTTTATCCTTTGCTTTCTGTTTCCTAAAAAAGGATCAAGGGAAACTAAGTTGTAGCTGTTTAAACCAGGAACCCGAAAGTATGGGATTCAGAGAGTTGTTGCATAAGACTTGCAAGTTCTCATATGCCAAATCGAGGCATTCCATAAGTTCAGCCCGGATATGGGTCCCGAGACTCCTCTCCACAGAAGCAACTTTGACACAACTAGTCATGCCAAATCGAACGAGGCTAAAGCTCTTTGAAAGAAAATATTTTACGTAGCTGATATAGAATTTGGCCACAACTTCGCCGAGGTCGGCTGGCACATTGGCTCCCCAGACACACTGGATTTACGCCCAACCCTCGGCGCGGCATGCAACATCTGGCACTTTTGTCCTTGACTTGATGAAAGCAGTCGAGTTGCAACCGCTTGAGTGGGCCGGAAAAAAAAGTTCCAACCTTCGGACAAAAGTCGTTGTAGTCAACCACACGGAGCGATCGGCATCTCCTTGGTCTAACCAGTAGTACTTAGTGAGGTTGGTATTCGTATTTGCTCACCACCAGTTGTGTCCATATCGCGGGCAGCCATCTGCGGGATTGCCTACGGGAAATGGTTTGTTGACATGGCCATTGCCACGGGGTTCCAGAAGATGGAGTCTGGCGTGGTGAAGTAGTCTCAAATGTGGCGACTGATAAGGAGCAGCGAAGCTTCTCATGTCGTGCTATCCAAATATACTTATATATCCCCAGAGTGTCTTTATTTCCCCAGAGAACCTCGATAGTTGTGCTCCGTCGTTTGCTGCAGGTTTTCAGCAACCCAATCGCTGTCTCGCCCATCGCTTTGCATTCTCAACAACCCTTCAAGCATCATCTCATTCACACGCAACACCAAAGCCTTACTTTCGATCCTTTCACATCGCCAACATGGTCTCTGAGAAAGAGGATTACTCCTCTGGACCTGACGATGCCTCTACCGGCCCCAATATCTTCCTCCCATCCGCCATCAGGCCTCAGCATCGCCCTCTTCATGATTCCAGCGTCACTCTCGAAGAGTACATGTACTATGCCGAGAAGACAAGAGCAGAGGAAGATGCCGTCGCAGCCACAAAGCCACCCACAACTTTCATGGAGCTGATCTTCCCATCAAAAGGAACAGCGAGAAGGATAGAGGGATTCCAACCCAACGAGAAGGAAGCAAAAGAGAACCCGCCCGCTCACACTGACGCGGCGGCCTCTGGTAACAAACTGCTCATCACAGATCTGGAATGGACAAACGCGAGCCGGGCTCTGCGTTCCGCTAGTGCAGCTGCTTGCTTTTACTTGATCACGACCGACATCTTGGGTCCTTTTGGAGTTGGTTTCTCCATCGGTACTATGGGTTGGGGAGAAGGTATTGGACTATTCACCCTGTTCGGTATCTGCGCTGGATTGTAAGTTATTTGAGACTTGTTTCCGACTTCTTCTTATTTGCTAATATTCCCTAGTTCCGGCTACCTTCTCTGGAAAGTCTTCTTGGATGTCGACTCATACGAGTTTCCGGCCAAGAACTACGGCGATCTTGGATTCCGCATCTGGGGTCCTTGGCTTCGCTATACCATCAATTTCCTTCAGGCTCTGCAGCTCATGATTAGCGTTGGTATCCTCGTTATCAGCAATGGTCTTTCCATCTCGCAGGTGTCCAAATTCCGCCTTTGCTACATCGTATGCTGCCTGATCTGGGCGGTTGTGGGCTTCTTCCTGGGACAAATCCGGACGCTTAACAAGTTGGGCTTCTTGGCGAACTTTGCTGTCGTCCTCAACTTGATGATCATGTTCATCAGCATGGGTGTGATGGCCCATAGCGAGCCCAACTATGGTGCTGCTCAGGCTGGTTCTGCTGGAGCTGCTTTGGGTGGCGCATCAGTTACGCCATTTGCCAACGGAACTTATCCTCCTATCGAGAGACATGGTGGCGTTCCTCCTTCGACCAACGGCTTCACCGGCTCTATCAACGGTCTCATGAACGGTGTCTATGCGTACGGAGGTGCGCAGCTGTTTGTCGAGTTCATGGCCGAGCTTCAGCGACCCCGAGATTTCCTCAAGGCCATGTGGGGTGCTCAGTTCTTCATCTACGCCTGCTACATGTCCTATGGATCGTTTGTTTACTTCTACCAGGGACAATATGCCAACCAGGTAAGTTCATTAGACGCGCACTGAGTCACACATGTTCAAGTCGCATGTACTAACAACTGTCAACAACAGCTCGCCTACCAGGGACTGTCGCCTTATGCCTGGCAGACTGTCTGCAACATGCTTGCTGTCCTCAGTGGAATCATTGCTGCAACTCTATACGGCAACATCGGAATCAAGGTCATCTACAACAACGTGTTCATGGAGGTGTTTAGAGCTCCACCTCTCACCACTACCGGTGGCAAGATCCTCTGGGCCGTCACGGTCCCGATTTACTGGAGCATCGCCTTCATCATTGCTGCTTCTATCCCCGACTTTTTCGGCCTGACTAGCGTTATCGCTGCAATTTGCCTGGTGCAATTCACGTACACGTTCCCTGCATTTATCGGCCTCGGACTCTTTGTTCAGAAGAACGCGATGCAAGGAGAGGAGGCTTTCAACCCGGTAACTGGCGCTGTTTACCGTCGGGACTCTGGAATCAAGCGATGGATCCGTGGTTTCTTTGCCAAGTTCTGGTATCTGAATGCTATGCTTCTGGTCTACACGCTTGGCTCCATGGCGCTGAGTGGACTAGGAGCATATGCTGCGATCAAGGGCTTGATGGACGCTTTCTCGTCGCCACAGATTAACGCATTTACATGCACATCTCCCCTACAGGGCTAAATGAATGAATGAATTAGTAAAACGAAAGCGCTGGAGATAGACGAGCAATTATTTAATAGATTATGAACCTAGAACCACAACTTCCTCTCGTCAGTTTATATGCTAAGCCATATCTTTCATGTTACAGACTTGAGACAGGATTGGAATGTCAGCGTATTCGGAGCTTTGTCAAATTTCTGCTGAATTGTCGTTGAGTCTTCTAACTAACCTTATGGCATTTTTGGGAACAATATTGATGGCTTTGGTCGAATAAGAATGAGGGTGCAGCAGGGACCTGATATGCGCATTACATACATACATATGGATCAGTCTGACGTCGATGTTAACAAATAACACGATACAACAAAAAATACTCAGTAAATTAGTGAGAGAATACTGTGAGTGCGGTATCATATTTACCTTTCTTTATGTAACCAGCAAGTTGGCCGCTCGTCAGCCACAATGCAAGGGAGCGTTAGCTTTCGGGCTTTTGTGGTTACACACACAAATTTGCACACTGATGGCCGTATCTTTATACGTTTATGCTCTTCTGTGTCTATATCTAGTTTGTTCATATGAGTTCTTTCCCCACAAGGCTCTCTCTCCATAACGTTGTACTGCTCCTCAAGTGAACACAGCGTGCTGTGGCTGCGGATCAGAAGTAGACGAGTCTTGAATGGTTTCACGACTCAGAGCGTGTAAGCACCAGCTCGTCAGTCAATCCAGCATGAGACAGACCTATCCATGATAAACCCAGAACAAAGTTTGCTAGGATGCAGTGACGTCTCAATCACACCGCATGCGCTCTAGGGCGATTGGCCAATTGCTCAAAGCCACGCAGTATTTGTGACTGCTGCTCCCATCATCTACGAGAGTTTGCCACTCAGTGACCTGTAGGTAATGGAAGCTATTCCTGGGCTAAACCTCACTCTGTATCTCCGAGCTCAGCCGCGGCTGAGACACCGCCAGTTTGCTGGTCGCTTATTGACAGGGACGCGACATGATCGCGCGTGATGTGGTGGCCGGTGCCATTACTGACTGCAAGTGTTAAGGCGTTGACTGCTGCCCAACTTCATTACCAGACCGGAGCGATATTCTTTCCTCAACACTTGGTTGGCTCCCTGTAAGGCTATTTCGGTTTGTCCCTTAATAGCGACCAGAGCGAAAGTGCAAATCCACTCATCATCATTCGAAACTGCTTGGGGTGCGCTGCTGTGAAATTGGGAGCGAACAAATATGGTCGTCAATACATTGTTCTCCTTGCCTCCGTAACATAGCTACACTTAGTTTACGCCTGGATCTCGACCCTCAGCAAACTACATTGGTTATTTACTGCAGAAAATAGTCCCCAAGCCCCAGCATTGACAGTTGTTCCGACGCAAGTGACGCTGAGCGAGATATGTACGAGCCTACCACGATTTTAGTGCCTTGACTGCGCAGGAGCTGAATGTTGATCTTAGTCCAGCCTGGTCCCTGAGGCGACATCCAGCGGTAATCAACTTTGAATCTAGCTAAGGGGCTCCCGCAGCTAACTGACTAGACCATCGTGCTTGTTCAAGTAGTCGGGAATATTCTCATACTATCGGGAGTTAGCGGGGATCTACGGCAGCTCCTAAGACTAAGATCCAATCAGGCACCTCTCTCTCCGGCAGTAAAATGATTCAAGCCTTGCGGCTGGAAATCTAGACCTAGATCTGCATTGTAAAGCGGTAGCCAAAGCCAGACTAACACATGTAATCTCCTTTGGTGGTTTGAGTCCGCTCTTTGTAGAAAACAAAGCAAGGTTTTGGCGTAGCAAAGGGACTGTCTTCTGTAGCTTACGGGGGTGACGGGGTAGTCAGAGATCTTAATAAGATCGGGGGATGCGGGTTGTGCAACCTGTTTCTTCCAGACTCTCTTGGCACACGGCAAAGTCTCAAGATGGCGTCACTCAAGGTTCTGTTTACCGTCCTCCTTCTCAATGCCCAGTCTGCGCTGGGCATTGACCGTGTGTGCCAGCATTTCCCGTATAATGAGCTGCTCCCTCTCAAACACTACCCGCCAGCGGAATTATACTGTTCTCGCCATTGTGAGTAAACTTCTGGGTAACGCCGAGCGCCTTGGCTAAACAAAACAAGATCCCTTGCCTGCTTCCACCGTCACTCGAACAGTGACGATACCGACAACTGCAGTTGTGACAATCTCCAAACCTGCCAAGACTCTAACGCTCACAACCGGCATCACCACATCGACTGTTTACACATCGACTGCGACAGCGTACGTCTACACGACTACAAAGACAGCCACGGTCACCATTGGAACTTTGGTAAATCATCTCGAGTATTGTATAATGCCCAATTTTGACTTACCAAATGATGTTTCCCTTTGTAGACGCAGACTGTCCACACCGGCACAGAGATTGATACCGTCTACACCCAGACAGATGTTGTCACCCAATACACTGCTACATCAACCGACTACCAAACCACTGGAACGGATACCGTGTAAGTTGTTAGCATGCTAAACAAGCTACGGGCAGATAGCTAACAGTGTGCAGCACCACAACCGTAGCTACAGTCCCCACAACGATCACAACCGCAACTATCACAGTCTTTGAGACCCAGAAAGCCACGACAATAGCCTCATCTGGAACTGTTACGGTCTACACCACTGTCGATACCGGCCTGCAAAAGCGCCATCACCACGATTCTCGTGATGATCTTCTGCCGAAGCTGGCAAGATGCCAGAATAAGATCTTGAAGACGGCTTGCTCGGTATGTGTTGTATTAGAGATTCCATGTCCGATGATTTGTTGCTGACGAAACAAAGTGTATCGAAGTTTCCGGACCGACGCGTACCGTCACACATACGACCAAGTGTACCCATACTTCGTTCAAGACTGTCGGCGGGGTGACCAAAACTGTGAATGTCGTCGGCACAACGACAACGAAAGAGGCGTCGACATCTACTATCAGCACCGCAACTGTCAGTTTTCTTTCCCCGAGATCACTAACGAGCTCTGTCCTGACTCTTTACATATAGACAATGACTGCATCTGTTGGTTATATCACCACCGTATTGGATACTGAAATAGATACCATCAGCACTGATTCGGTCTCGACTCTGTCGACAGTCTTTATCACCGAAGTCCCTACAGCCGCCACGACGACGGCTTCAGTTACTTCTTTCTCACCAGTCAACGTCGCATTTACCACAACCGTGCCTACAATATCCACTACGACGGTGATAGTACCGGCCGCCACTGCGACCATCTCGACTAATGTTGCGTATACCAAAGTATTCGGTCCTCAAGATGGTTGCGCCTATGTCTTGGAAGCGTGAGTAACGCCTGATCTGGAAATGTAAAACGTTGAAGGTCATGAGGCTAATCTGACAATTGCAGTGACTTCCTTGATCAATATTCGCAAAACATCCCTGCTGGTACACCGCATGCTGACAGGGTTGCCATCTGCGCTGCGTTCTGCGACACAACGCCTGGATGCAAAACATTTGGCATGAACTGGTTCCCGGCTTGCGGGGGCAACGGCGAGTCGGTGTATTGCATTGCTTCCCAGGATGCATGGGCGGGCTCAAGTACCATGGAGTGCGGCATTGGAACCGGATATAATGGATGTTCCATCTACCAGGACGGCACGGTATTTCAGTATGTGATTTCTTCGCCCCAGCATGATGATTGACAGCCTGACTAATTGGATCAACAGGAAAAACTAGGCTTTATTGAACAAAATAATATTTAGTTAAGACGTTGTCGAGACTCAAATCTTGGTAGCGTCAAGTCTGGGATATCCATTGCGCTAGATGGATTGTATGGCCCGCTTCAAAACTGCAAGGTAACGGTCTAGACTGCCCATTTATAGTTGCTCGCAAGAAAATAATTCTCAATGGTAATAATCATTCAACCTCAAGAACAAATTGAGCACTGTCAAGCACATTAGTATCATTAGTATCATTCCAGCCTTTCCCCTTTACTATAAACCCATCTAATGCAAGTTCCACACCATTTAACCTCACCTGACGCCCTAGGCCTATCATTGGACCTTCAGCCGCTGATCTCAAACATGGCACCACCCCTGACAGCCTTGCCATTGGCCTTCACAGCCGATCCTGAATCCTTCAGCATCCCATGCCCGCAAAATTATACGTATCATTGCCTTCAGGCAGACTAAGAAGCTAGTCAGCGGCACGATGTGACATGAGCCTCGCCAGCCTGTGAGACGGGCCCCCAATAGGCTGAATCTACCTGAAGGATTCTACCTAGTGACATAACCCACGATGCCGCGTCCGAAATTCTCCTCTCCGACTTTCTCTTGTCTTTATCTTTTCTTTCTTCCCCTCTTCTTTACCGGATGGTGGTGACGAGCTCTAGGAGCACCTTTCGATTCTCATGGTTTCACCCTACAGTGAGACCGCGGGGCCGGGGGTTCTGCCAGAAGTTGATGCGTCTCGATTAGAGAGCTCCAACACACTGGGTAACGCCGGGGCACCTGAAGTTTTCCGTGGATATGACGGGTTGGAAGTGGTTAATGGCGATCTGCTCAACGAAAGCAACAAAATAAAGGCCGAGAACGAAGCTGCATTAGCGACTGAACACAATACGCCACAGAAAAACGCGAGGAAAAGGCTAATATGGATCGCGGTCGGAGTTGGGGTTCTGGTAGTCGTGATAGTGGCAGCCGTGGTTGGCGGTGTTCTTGGATCGCGACATCATCATGACAACTCCTCGGCGTCCTCGAGTCCTTCCAGCGAGACATCGTCGGCTTCTCCGGCTCCCACCTCGTCACCGCCGCCCAGCGCCATTTACTCCAAATCAAGCTTATCGGTAACCGGTTGGTGGGAAACCACGTCGAGCTACAACATCCGCCTCGCCTACCAGGGAAACGATGGGTTATTACGCATGATAGGCTACAGCTCGGACGATGAAGAATGGTCAACGGTGTCAGCGTATCATGCCGACCCGGCACCAAAGATGGGCACTCCAATTGCGCTTTGCTGCTACAATGCCACGTTCTACAGTGGAGGTAAAGCGACCTCCTCCAATGTAAGACTTACTGCCCTCTCCATCGCTCTTTGAGCACTGTACCTACCTATATATATCTAACGCGCCAATCGACATGACGTAGAACTATACGCAAATCGATATATTCTACCAGGGAAAGCAAGACTATATCAACGAATGGATCATCCGAGAGCAAAAAGTCCCAGTGGTGACAACTACGGACACCACGGGCACCATCAACCCGAAGGCCTACAAAGCTGGCCCAAACACAAGGATTGCATCCTATTGGCCCAGCGTCATCTTTCAGAACGAAGTGAACCAACTAGAAGAAGCCTATTTTACGACACAGAGCGTCTGGAATCATCAACTATTGAATCTCTCAAGCACAAATCACTCGGCACTAGCAGAAGTCCCCTATTGGGGAGGGAGAACTGGCAGCGCCAATTTCATCTATCAACGAGATGACCAGAGGCTTTTTGCGGAACGGCGGGTCAATGCCAGCGTAGCAGCAGCTGCAGGTAAGACCTAATGGAAGAGATTCTGGCTGCTGCATCAATACTAACGTAGACTTGCAGATGCACCACCTGACACTATCCCTTCCCAGGCAAGCATTGGAGCCTTTGCCATTCCGAAGACTACAGTGCAAGATAGCCTCATGAATACTTATATTTTATGGCGAAACGATACTGGCGCTATCCAGATGACCAAGAATGATGACAACAACGGGTGGCAAACATCATCAACACCAGATGCCCTCGGAAGTCCCGACGAAGGAACAGATATCGCATGCCTTACTGCAACCAACTATGTTGTCACCCCTATACAGTCCAAGTTCGATATGGCTCGATGTTACTACTTGGTAAAAGGGAAAGTAAGAGAGGTGAAATACGATGGCTCGACGTGGTCTGTTGTTGGAGATGTGCCGCTGGATTAATTTTCATTTCTTCATTTCTCCTTTTCTACTAGCGGGGTCAATTATGTTTTACTATACGGGTTATATGTCGTTGGGATGCTATAAACTTAGAATATTACGATTGACAAAAAAACTTGTAAAGATCATTGTTAAAAAGCTTCTACTTCTCTCGATGAAAACAACATCAGGACATACTGTTTGTCATTGACTAGTATTGTGTTAAACGGTAAAATGAGATTACTATGAGCTTAAAATGACAAAGGGAATAAGTGGATTCTATGTGAAAAGATTCAAAAAGAAATGAAATGCAATGCAGAACAAACAAGGGAAATGCATGTAGGGTAACATGCTGTACAAAAGAACTTGACATGACAATGTCAAGTTACCATCAGACGAAAATGTGACTCTGCAACACCCACTCTCTCTGAGCCGTCTCTAAAATATCATTCTCCGCGTTGAAACCATTTGCAACGCCTCCCCATTCCATCTCATTAAATTTCCATGCCTTGGGCGGAGCATATTTCCATGATGGCAGTTGGTTGGAGTCTTGAATATTGTCGCCGAGCTTGAAATCGCGCGTCAAACTTTCATAAATCGTCCGAACCTCCTTTTCTCGTTTGGTCCAGTATTTGTGTTGAGATTCATTGAGCTGCGATCGTATATTGTTCAGTAGTGATGAGTGAATCCAAGCTTGCTCCTTGAGGAACTCGTGATCATCGTCGCGACGCGTATAGCCGTTGTACACCACGTCAGACGGCGAGTTAATCTCTCGCATGATGTTGTGGTGGACATCCATGGCGTAGGAGAAATAATCCTCTTCCACATATTCTTCGTCTACATTCGACGCCATTGTAGCGTAAATGCTTGCCAAAAGTCGTGATACCTCCAACGTGTCCTTGTGAAGTCGTCCGCGGGCGCGCTGCAAGTTATAGTACAGCTGCTCGGCGGTACGAATTGCGTCTGCGTAAAACTTCAGAGCGCACTGCACGTGGACCAAGAATGTCCCAATTTCGATAATCTTTTGAGTATCCGAGCCGAATGTCGACCGGACGTCTCCTCGAGAATCCCACAGACGAGATAATACGCGCTCAAGCTGTTCATGGTTGCTTTGAGCGTGCAGCAGATTGATGAGGCCAACCAAGTCCTCGGCACGAAGTGTTTCAAAGTCTATCTCCAGTGTGTCGAACGCATTAATCACGTCATGCATGATGGACTGCGAAGTTTCCACCATGGCCATTCCGTAAGTGTCATTCGGGTAATCAGGGCGAGGTGCCCCAATTCCAACCAGGTATTGGGCCAGTATGTATCCGTAGCGGATGCGGCGACGATCATGATAAAGCCTCCTGTCTACGGAGAGCCTCATCAAGAATCGGCCAACTTGACTAGCGTTATCGAAGCTTCCACTCTCCAAGAGCCTTTGGACGTGACTATTGCCAACTTCTAGCAATATAGTATCAAAGTCAATATTAATTGCAGGTCGATCTTTGCCGAGCTCATCCATCAAGCTGTAGTAGAACTCTTCCTTGACCCCCTTGTTGCAGTTTATCTCAAAGTATTGGGAATACGCAGCCTTGAAGCGTTCAATAAGGTCATCATCAAGAGTCCTGATAAACTCTTCGCGTTGGTAAGACTGCCAGAAACGACGAAGGCGCGCGCCGTATTGTAGAATAACCTCTACAGCGGCCTCCTCATCGCTTTTACTCGAGTACTCTTCATATAGCAGGGACTCTAGAACAATCTCAGCCATCACCTTGGAGTAAGAGAGATATTCGGCGTGCTGGTCAAGACCGTGCCCGAATGCGATCAAGAAAATGAAGACGGCCTTCCTCGTCTGAGAGTTCATTTCCACACGGATACCACTCTTGGAAAAACTTTCTCCGTATATGACCGTTTTGCGAATTTCTTCGAGAAGATCCTTGCCACTCTGTATCAAGTCGGCATTGACGAAGAGGGCAGCTAACGAGGTAGCGGCATGGAAGAGTGTTAAATTAACGGCAGCGGCGGTGATGATGTACTGAGCCGACTCTACTAGAAGCTGTCGCGTGAGCTCTCTGGATTCCTCTGTATTGATCTGTTGATACAGCAAGATGACGCAGTCGAGTTGATGCATCGTTTGCTCAGGGTATTCATCAAATGCAGCCTTATACTGATGATACGTCTCGAGTGAGATTTCAATGGCGCGCTCGAGTGAAAACCTCTTTTTCTGAGAGCCTTTGACAATGGTGACATACATCCGTGATAGGCGTTTCTTGACAGTCTCAACCGTTGTGTCATCGATATCAGTGTCAGTAGTCTCTATTGTCTTCAGCGTGTCGAGCACTTGCTCATAGCTCTCGATGGACTCTTCGTGATGCTCATCGTGTGTTTCGCATATCTTCGCCAAAGTAATCAGCGCATTGATGACCAATTCCGGATTATCGGAATAGTATTCGCTGATGATGTCTTTGTACTCAACAGCGATGTCATATAGCTTCGAGAAATCTTCATTACCGTGGAAATCCAAGACATGCGAATACTTCTGATAGATGGAGGCGACATCTTTACCAGAAACTTTACGCTCCCCTTGAGAATTTCGCTGTCCACGGAGACGCAGAATAGTCTCCCACAATACGGTACAGATTGCCTGAAGCCTATCCCAAAGCCGACGAGCGTCATAGTGTATGGAAAGAGCCAAAGCGGCCTTGATGGCATCAGGGTGACAGTAATCGGCACCCTCATTTAGCAGAGTGACTATTTTCGCGTAATAGTTATAGGCGGTTTCGAGGCCGAGTGTCTCGTGATAATCCGCTATAAAATACAGCGTCTCGATGGTTGTTTCATGCTTTTCGCCCAACTCCCGCTCGTATTTTGCCAAGATATGCGAATAGATATCAATGACCTCCCTATGGCGATGATGTTCTTCGTAGAATGTGACCAGGATAGCGATGGCTTCCGTAAGAAGATGGGCCCCAGTAAGAGGATTCTCTTCAGTGCCAAGATTGTCTCCGAGTTTAACAGAAATGCAAGCGTAAAAGATTTGTAGGTGTATCCTCTCAGCCATCTCAAACAGCTTTTGAGCGGAATAGCAATCTGCCAGACGGCGTGCCACAGCTATGCATTCTTCGATTGAGTGCTCAGCAAGCCTGATGTTGGAGCTATCAGTCAATATCTCTTTCCAAGTTAGCTGTAGAGTCTTTTTAAGGGCGGCTTCAGCTTCACGCCAGTTGTTTTGTTGATTATAGAGGCTTATCAACGCTCTGGCTGCCGAGAACAGTGATGTATCAGTCTGACCATGTTCGTATTCATCGACAAGACGCTCAAACAGCTTCTTCACCACACTTTCTGTCTCTTCTGTAACAACTCTCTCTGGCGTGTTCTTTTTAGTGACAGTAGTATCACTAATTTCTTCCACGACTCTGTTCATAAGCAGCACAGTCTTCTCGACTTCTTCGCTGGATCCGTAGGTGCTGAACGACTCCAATACCTTGGTCAACATGGAGACAGCAATGCTCGATAAGCCAGCCTTTCTACACTCTTCTGCCACCTCCCTGATGCGAATCATAATTCTCTCAGACTGGAGGGTGAACTTTTGGTACTCTGCCCAAAGGCAAATAAGAATGCTGCATGCTTCTTGAATGCGGTTGTGTCGGCTGAGGAATCTGGCGTATTCGAGAGCAATATCGATCCTGATCAAATGAATATCAACCATCGTTGCTGGAGCATGGTCGGCAGTTATGCGCTGCCAAAGGTTGACGTATAACCTTTCGGCGTGAGAGCGATGTTCGGGATTTTCGCAGCTTTCATATGTATGTGCGAGTCTCATCCATAGCTCGACACACCGGAGATCAGTGATTTCTATGTTTTGACTGGTTTCGAAGATCATCTCTTCAAGTTCGCCGACTTTGTCACTTGGCGCACCATTAAGAACAATGTTCAGAGTGGCAAAATAAGCGTTCATTTGCTTCACTCGATGTGATTCCTTGCCCTCTCTCGCGGTCAAAATGATACGTATCTCTTGATAAGCACCCATAGCTTCCTCTTCTCTCTTGATATCAGCATAGAATTTGGCGAGCTTCTGGTACCAGGAGATCACTTCATCACTATGACCACCGTACTTCCGTGCGTCGATTTCGATGGCAAGCCGAAGCATCCTCTCATACCAAGTGATGATGTCGATTTGATGGCTATTATGAGTCGTGAAAATCTCAGTCGTGTCGTTGATCTCGATCCCGGTAACACAATCAAAGAAAGTCTCCATGCATGTCTTGACAATCGTGGAAGTATCGGACAAAATTTGTTTCCCAAGAATAGCTGCTTCGTAAAAGTAGAACGAAGCGTCAGTCTTTAATCCGAGATTGTTGAGGTAGATGTATCCAAGAGTAACGAGGTTGTGAACAACCACGGGTTCTCGGTCCGCGAAACAATCTTGTCGAATTTGGAAAGCAATCTTATGGCTGGCCACAAGTTGCTCTTTCGTATATACTCTAGCCCAGCAAGTTCTTTCAAGAAGGGCGAATGTGATGGACTTGGGGAATACTTCCGATACTTCGAGTCCAGTGAACCCCGATGCTTGGAAATGCTCGACCCAATTCTGCACAACGTACCCGAGAAGGGAATCTGCTGAAAACAAAGAGAGAACAAAACTGTAGTCTAAGACGTCGGAAGAAATGTCTCCAGCCTCCTTCAGTGAAAACTTGACGTAAAGTAGCATTAATAACGTCAGCTGTTTCTGTGCTGTCTGCTCAGACAGTAGCAACATCGCAGTGAGCTGTTCTTTCACGAATGATCGAACCTCTTTAGTGCGGAAATGCAAGTGACCATCTCTAATTATGACCAGATCGCAGAGGAATTTGGAGACAAGGCCGGCGACATCGGGGCCGACAGACATGGCCTGTCTTTGAAGGTCAATTGAGAGAAGCTTCTCCATCTCTACCACAGATAGTGGCCTAGCGGCCACTAGCATTATGGATAGAAGATTTTTCAAATCGTGATTCTTTGCGAGCTCAAGCGACTCAAGAACCTTGAGAAGCACATCCGAAGTCTTTGGACCTAACTCATGACTTGATTGAATAATAGTAGCCTTTGACTTTTCTTTGGATATAAGCTGAACAGCGTAAAATGCCCAAAGCCAATCACCACCGGCTTTGATCGTCATGCTTTTGAGGACATTATCAGACTCTTGTCGACTCAAATGGCGGAAATAACGAGATCGAGAGAGACTGTCACGAATATAAGCCCGGATATCTTCGCGAACTTTGGAAATTTCTATTTGACGGGCGTAAACCTGAACGGGATCAGGAATTGAGCGACAAAAGGCGACAACTTGTACAGGAAGCCCAGTAATGCATTCTTGGAGCTTGGCGTAGAAATCCTCGTGGATTCCAACGATTTCATCGCAGTCATCTAAAACAATGACCATGGACGCTTGTTGAATACGAATAGCCCCAAGACAAATATTCAAAGCTTTCCAGAGCACTGCCTCTGTAGGTTCAGAGTCCTTTCGAGCGGAATGATGCTGAAAGGCTTGCGCTATAGCTTTGTACACTTCGACATTGCTGATGTTTTGTTCAAGAAGAGTGAATAGAATGCTCTTAAAAAACGCGCCAGGGGTTGCTCTGTCAGGTGAGTCAAATGCTGTGAGGTGGGCTGTTAGAAATGGTAGTGTAAAAAATAGAAGCGGGAGTAACTCACGAAATGTGTATCGAAGAACGTGATATGATTTGACATTGAATGGTCGAGCAAGTCTCTCCTCCACCCATCTGGACAGGAAGGTTTTACCGCTCGAGTTCTCGCCTGTCAAGCAGAGTAACTTCTCTTCTCCGCTGAAGAATTCCGAGAGGACCTCTTTCAACCAGTAACACGTTTTGGATGGTGGAGTGTGGTAATCGTCTACTTTTTCGTAGATCCTGTTAACAGCAGAGTAGTTGTATGGGTACTGAAGCTTCCAGCGGAGTTGCTTCGCAGTAAATGTGAGATCTGCCTCTTGGAGCTTATGCTTCCAAATGGCGTCAGAAAGCGCCTCTTTGGATTGCCAAATCTCACGAATCTGTGCACCAAAACTAGCGTCGAAGTTGATGTGTGCCTGCGATCCAGGCTTCAGATCACTGATTTTCTGTCGATACACTGCTGCGATGTTGCCAAGAAGGGCAACCAAGGTATTGAATGTCTTGGTAGCATCGTAGCGAATTGCCTCTGACGGCGTTTGAAGATTGTGAATTCGGGTTATATCCGTGAGAAGCACGGCAAATTCATACAACGCCTTAAAGGTTGGTAAAAGTGCTTGAGCTTGGGCGTGACCGATCTAAAGTTACAGTCAGCTATTGGTCGAGCAATCAGCATCTTGCCGTCATTGGGGGACATACCTCAAGTAATGCATGAGATGAAGCAAGAGCTGCTGAAACTAAGTCTCTTGCTTTGTTGATCGAGACAGTATTCTTTTTTCCATTGAAAAAGGCGTCGACGCCTTCCCCGTTGAAAAAGGTATTGTTGTGCTCAGTAAATCCATCAATGGAGCCAATGGTCTCTGCATCATCGAAAGACGAATCGAGCGTTTCTCCATTCGTGAAAGCATCCACCGTGTCTCCGAATTGAGCAATGTGAAGTCCAAAGTATTGGGCCGCATTGAGAACTCGATCCCAGGCGTTGTCTCTGTCGGGCATTCTGATGAGGCGTTCATCTGAGATGTATTGGAGATACCACTTCAGAGTGAAGTTGGTGATCTTAACCTTATCACCAGCGACAGGCTCAGGTCGCCTGGGATGTTGAGGCGCCCTTTGTAGCACGACCGAACCGTTCTCCACCACTCGCCGCGATCGGCTTGTGGAAGTGGTGGTGAACGTCTTTACATTGGGGGCAGAGGTTGTAATTGTCTTCGTCGTTGTCACTTCATTTTGGCTGTGGTTGCGCTGCGGTGACACGGGCCTGACGACCGTCGCTTCAACATCTATGTCCCGTGTAACCTCTGCCAGTGGAACGGACGGAGATGGACGAGGGAGCATCAAGCCCTGAGCTCTTGGGGGGTCCATAGTTTCAGCACGTCGCGGGACGTCTGGTTTGACGAAGTGATTGTCGCTTTGTATAGAGTTTGCTGCGCTGTTTGGAGTGCTGCTCGCTCCTGCGGATTCAGGAACAGGGGATATAGGTTCAGTGTTCTTAATACTTTTCTTCCCTAAGAGCAGCATTAGTTCCTGAATTGGAAGAGATATTGAGATGAACGTTTTAACACTTATATGTGTCATTCATAGTAGGATAAGTAGATATAGAGACACACCTCTTGCAAAGCTTTTCCAAGATTTCATGCTGAGTTGTATACTGGTGCTAACATGTCAAGTTGCCGTGGTTAGAAACAGATCAGATAGTCGAATAGTGAAAACTATGAGGAACCATACATGTGTCTATCAAGAGCGCCTTATCAAAGGCTCTGAGTGAGATGAAGAGAAGAAATGGCTTGAGGAAACGGTGTGAAATATGTATATATAGCACTTGCCTCTCATAGAAAGCAATAGATACTTGCGGGTGTATTTGTCTTCAGTATACTTTGTTCCGTATATAAGAAAAACAGGCGACCAATAAACTCCTTAATTGCAACCTAATTTGAGCCTCCTCACACCGAAAGCCTAACTCATTGGTGGTATGAGATGCAGGCTCGCAGAATGCATCTCCAGGTGGCCTTGCATGCAGCCGGTGAGAGCGGAATAGACTCTGACCTGGCTGCCAGGCTGTCAGACTACGAGCCTATCAGATGGAGGAGGCTTGAATCAACTGAAACTTGCATTATGGCTATGTATATGTGTTTTGTGTGTCTGAGAGTCTTGTGCATGTATGCTATAGTAGTTGTAGGTATTTGCTTTTCGCCCTTTATTGCTATGCCCTGTATGCACTACGTGTACACATCTTGTATCTTTAGTAGGAATTTCATATACTGCTGCCCAAGAGGCTCTGTTGAGTCCACATATAATTGGAGTTCTCAAAGTTGCAGGCCGTGTGCGGTGTGGGTGTGCTCGCAGTTCTCCAGTAGCAAGTAGACACAAAGCTGTATATATTTACTCATAGCATAAAGTTTGGGGCCCGAAGACTAGTTGATACATTCACACTGCCTTGCATAAACACCCTTGCTTCTCATTGTTCCCCAGCTGCAGTTTTCACCCGGCTGGCCTCATGAATGCCGACGCCCTACTCACAACTTGGCCACAGATTGGCCGCCGCGTGCTACGTGGAATAACAACATAGGGCCGCTCCACCAAGGATACGTAATGTGTTGAGCCGTCATTGGCAAAACACTACTGTAGGCTTTGAGATCTCTGAAGGAGACATTGGTCCGTTCTACCCTGCCTTATCGCGCTTGGGCCATGCCATAGGCTGGTATCCCGGTCCAGAGAACATGAGGTTCTCAGCTCAACGGTGAGGACCAGGCTCATGCGTTGCGGCTAACCGACGTCGGATCTGGCATCGGTATACGCCTTTCCTTATTCTCACGACATTATACAAGTAGGGCAGCAAGTAGTACTCGTATTGGCCTCACAATGTGACAGGGATGTAACCGAGCCGGGGCCTCAGCCGCTTCACAAATGGTGCCCGGGTGGCAACTTGGAACGGCTGAGAGCCTCGAGTCTCAAAAGACGGTGGATGCTAAGCCACAAACAGTATCCGTATTTTGGCCTGAACTGCGTGGAATAAGTGATAGAGCCGCATGCTGTGTGGAGCTACACGTCAAAGACCTTATACACGCCCAAACGATAGCGGCGAAAAGTCTGGCCTACCCATTCTCCCCTGCTGAAACCAGGGCTTAAATATAGATATGGGGCTATAAATATTTGGAGCATTTTGGAGGAGCTTTCTATTTTTGGTAGCTATCCGTAAAACACAAGTACCATCTGAAGTCTTTCACAGTTCATTCATTCGGTAGTATGTCTGTAGATAACAGCGGATCATTGTGGCCGATGTGGCAAGATGGGGTTTACCTTGTTTTTTTTTTAAATAGATGCAAACCGCTGTAGTATTAGAATGCATGCTTATTATGTTGGAAGGACCACGAACGTTCTCCGAGACATGATTGATGTCGCCATTCCGTAGATATCACATATCAACAATGATTACCCACAAATGCATATGCACAGGCGCTGTACATATAGCTTAAGATGAGCCAACACCCGTGTCTCTGGCAACAGTGTCCGCTATGGAAATCTAATCTTCTTCTTAATAGTGTAATAGATGATTTAAAACTACCTACCTGTGTTGTCACCCATATCATTATGTCTGTAATATTATTGAACCCAAAGAACGCAGCAGAGCCTCAGCTTTCTCGTACTAGTAATCCGGGGAATGCGTTGGAGTTACATCCGTTCATCTATCATCACACCCTTGTACAGCTGAAGTCTGACGGCCAATACGTGGAGTACATACACCCAGCCTGATTGGCTTGTGCGGCGGGAACAGACGCGATTCAGAGCCCAATGACGATGATTGCATATGTCCAGCTAGCCGCAGACCTCAACACTTGACTCGAATCAGCCCGAAGCCGACTTCGTGCATCTGTGGCAACGAATTGGGCAGAAATGGGTGGTCGACATGGCTGCAGAGCTTGCGCGTCGCGTTAGGGAGAACAGCGTTCGCCTGCGGACGCGCAGATTTCTCGGTGTATCCTGCAAACGGGATGGAAGTGCATATTGCAAGGCAGAATCTGTAATTCCATTTGGCTTACGAGGCGAAAATTAGCGGACTAACCGTTGCATTTGACGAGATCGAGATTCTTGGTGTAGGACGCCGGACATGACCGTTGCATTTACGCAGAACCAATGACGCATGCAGAACAACAGGTTACGATCCGATGATTGAAACAAGATCCACACAATCTTAGTTGTCAATAATAAGGGAAATTTGCTGTACATGTTGATTCGTAAGATATCCTCCATTCGTGGGGAATCACAGGCTATTCCTCGTAGGCGAACTCGCTTCCCGCCATTTTCTCGTGATGATTACCGTCACAACCAAGCGAGTAAATTTAATCAAAATTCTCTAAAAATGCTCAATGATGTCCTCTTCATTCTATATTGTTAAAGTTGTAAAGAAATGTCCCTGGACTGTTGGCTTTTTTTTTAACGAAAATAAAGTATCTAACCCACCAATGTGAAGATAATAACACCATCGCAATTTCTACGACCATCCTCGAAATGCTACACTTGAGTCCTTATCACAGCTGATGAGTACAGTAGTTCTTAGAACTTGTTGGTGGCATGACTCTGTGGTGCATTGTTCAAAACCTGGACTGTATCGAATGATTGACAAATGTACATGTCGTGACGCTGAAGCACACCAATGCATTAGTAGCGCTTCTAGCATCGCTTTGCAGATGTAATGCATCCCATCCTGCCTCATTAGGAAGCACTAAGTTGATTCAACCAATTGATGATGAGCACAGAGTAGAGGCTATGTGATTCATCTTAGTTTTGTCCATCTAGCATGAGCATTTGCATGAGCATTAGTAACGGAGACTACTCTAATATTGTCGACAAGGCGAGCACCGAGTCTAACCATGAAGGTTCGTCAATCCTACCCTGGTGTTCTTAGTAGTGCCAGTCCTCGCCTGTCATGTCTTCTCTCACTTTATAGTTGAGCTCCGACTGCTTTAATACTTCCATATCAATATCGGCAGTGAAAACCCCCTCTGAACTGTCCGACATACGATTGACAGGACCTATAAATGGTATAGCGACCTGGGATAACCCAACAAACGTATCCGGGGGCCCGCCAGCATTTGCGAATACAACAGCACAACTGTTTTCGAAGCAACGAGATGTGATCATTGTGTTGAGCACGAGGCTTTCATAGTCGGGATTTAGTTTTAGTCCATAAGAACATGATTCATCAAGGGTCCAACAGGTCGGCACGATGATGATATCTGCACCATCTCTTACCAACTCTCGGAATGCTTCTGGGAAAGCGAGATCCCAACAGATCAAGATTCCCACTTTCCCTAACGGAGTAGATATTGCAGAGTGCTTCTTCTCGCCTCGAGATTGATGAAGACGTTCAGTATGCCAAAGATTTTTCTTCCGATATGATCCCAGAATCTCCCCCTCGTGTGAGATGAAGTAAGATGTGTTGAATAAGTGGTAGTCCCCATCTACACCGCTTATCCGTTTACTACCAATAAGCGCAGTCTGATCTGTAGCTGGATGCCGTTCGACGAGAGTTCCTGGGACAAGACAAATGCTAAGCTCCCGTGCCAACGCGCAGTATCGGTCAAGGTATTCTTGACATCGTGCTGCTTGCTCGATGTATATGGGCTCTTCAGGTAAATATCCGTTCAAATGGTATCTGCATAATTGAGTTAAACATGATACGGTGAATGCCAACAGATAAAATGATGATGCGCTCACTCTGGTAGAACGACAAGCTGGGCTCCCTGTTCAGCTGCTTGTCGGATGAAGCGACAGGATTTTGTAAAATTGGCATCTACATCAAGCGGCTATAGAACGTTTTAGAACGGAGAGGTGAAAATGAAGAGGACTGGCATACTTTTGAATGCAGCTGAACAACTGCGACTTTGATGTTTTCTGGCATGTTTTCGAACTGGTCTACTTTCTAAATGTTAATTACATCAATCGTCGTCACGTCCCCCTTCCTCGACGAACGGATCCCCCACACTTTATAGGTGTTAATAAGAGATCAGAGTGAGGCTAGTTTAGTGGAAGCCGCCAGTTTTGCGCTACTTGCTTAAAGAATACATGTGATTTGGCGTCACTCAATAGTCTTGTTGTCAGTTGCTGGATGCCTTGTAAAGCTCAGTCTCGATTCAATTTTGTTTAGCTTTTATAAATTCCCGGCTCTATCGAATAAATTGGTTCACAAAGTCCGCTCCCAGTCCCACTTTGTCGTAATGCTCCTTGGCTTTCTGAATCTTGCTAAAGACATCCTCCACGCCAACAGGGTTGCCATCAACGTCAACATAGATGTAAGCGCCAGTAACATGAAACATTGTAACCATTTCCTCCACATCATCAGGTACTTCCAAGGTATGGATGTCACCTGGAGGTTCAAAAGCATAGCTGCCCTCCTCAGCCCACCAAGGATGCTCGAGATAGTGCCATCTACCCTTTAACACTGTGGCATGCACAGGGCCGGCATGGCGATGTCGTGATAGTATTCCAGATTTGCGAACTCTGAGAATGTTGACAAAAAAGCCTTGACTGACGGAGAAGAGCAGAGGTCTAAACCAGACCTGATCGGACTGAGGGACCCAAAGACGCTCATCGCAGTTAAGACTTAGGACATCGGGGACGACTTGATCTTCAAGAACGTTGGGAAGAGGTTGGCCCCGATAGGCAAGAGCATTCTGATCGGGTTTTGTGGTTGAAGACATTGTAAGTGTTGCAGTCCGAATTAATTTGAAAGTCGTTATGAAGGTTAATCATGTGTGTAGATGTGTGCTAATAAGCTCAAGTTATACCAGAGACAAGAGGCATGCTTGTACGAGTCGTGATGCCAAGATTCATCCGTTATTACAATATCCGAGTCTCCAACGAGTAACTAAGTTCAGTGTGAACGTATGGAAGCTAGATCCGGAGATGTTCACACTCTGGCGGATATTGTGGTCCATCTCGTTTCCAATTATTGGGCTAGTAAATAACGGACCAACAATCCGGGCGCCGAGCGCTTCGGGCGCGGGGAAGATTTCTTATGATACGGAAAGCTAGCTGTTTGCCAACCCACTGTTTCAACGACTAAATGATGACAGTGAAGATACCAAGATGCGCCAGGCGCTTCGCAGGCGCCGCCGCTATCGGATAATTTCCGACACCTGGGGGTCACTTTTCGTATCTGTTGAAACAACCTGATCCTCGCTACTTCCACTTAGATTTGCTTTTGTTACCTAGGCACTTTGTCAGCGGACTGATATTTCGGTCGGCGTACAGACGGAGAGCGGAAGTACCATCAAAGCGAGTCTCTCATCACCAACTCTTAGAGTGCTCTCCAAACACTCTCACTCAGTGTCGAAAACTTTGTCCCTCACTTTACTAAATATCTCCAAATAGATAGAATCGCCATGGAGGCACCCGGTTGGTGGCGCGACACCGTCGTATACCAAATCTATCCTGTATCATTCAAAGACACTACCGGCAATGGAAAAGGCGACCTCAATGGCATCACTTCCAAGTTACCTTATCTCAAGGATCTCGGTGTTGAGGTAGTATGGTTGTCTCCAGTATATGCATCTCCAATGGTTGATATAGGATACGACATCTCCAACTATCGAGAGATACATCCGGACTTTGGCTCCATGGCGGACTGGGAGCGCATGGTTGAAGAAGCCCATCGGATAGGATTAAAAGTCGTCATGGATCTAGTCGTCAATCATACCTCAGATCAGCACGAATGGTTCCAGGACGCCAAAAATGGAGGCTCAAAGAAAGATTGGTATATATGGCGGGGGAAGAACAAAGAAGGAAAGGAGCCCAATAATTGGGGCGCCATTTTCGGTGGCTCATGCTGGGAATGGAACGACAAACTGCAGGAGTACTATCTTCATGTATTCGACGTATCGCAACCTGATCTCAACTGGGAGAATCCTGTGGTCCGAGAGGCTGTATGGGACGTTATGCGCTTTTGGCTGGATAAAGGCTGCGATGGGTTTAGAATGGATGTCATTAACTGTATCTCCAAGACACCTGGTTTTCCGGATGCGCCCATCATTGATCCTCAAAATCCCTATCAATACGGCTTAATCCATCGTTTCAATGGACCAAAAGTAGCAGATTATTTGCTCGAGATGCACGAAAAGGTTCTTCGATACTACCCCAATGCCTTCACAGTTGGAGAGGCTCCAGGAGTCAAAAACGCAGAGCAAGCACTACCACTGGTTAAAAATGGCATTCCTCTTCAGGTATGTTTTGATCTTCTTTTTCCTTTAATGAACAAGTTTGTTAATATGTTATAGATGCTCTTCCACTTTGAACACATGTATATCGATCACCAACCTGGCAAAACATGCTTCAACTACAAGCCATGGAAGCTCACTGAACTCAAGGACGTTCTCGGAAAGTTTATGGAGTTCAATCAAGCTAATGGAGGATGGGATAGCCTGTACTTGGAGAACCATGATCAGCCGCGGATTGTTAGTCGATGGGCAAATGACGGCCTATATCGCGATGTATCTGCCAAGATGTTGGCGCTCTTCCACGCTACAGGTAGAGGTACCCTGTTTCTCTACCAAGGGCAAGAAATCGGCATGGCCAATCCAGCTTCTTGGAATTTCGATGAGCTCAGAGATTTGGAGGAGATTCAGTATTACGAGGCTGTCGAGGCCAAAAATGGAGATATCCAAGATGCACTGAAGCAGATTCAGCGAATTGGACGTGACAATTCGCGCACACCGATGCAGTGGAATGCTGATATCAACGCCGGTTTTACTTCAGGAACGCCTTGGATCAAAGTGAACCGGGACTACAAAGAATGGAATGTTGAAACACAATCAACAAGCTCTACTATGAGCGTGCTCAAATTTTGGAAGCTTGTGCTCAAGACTAGAAAAGAGCACCCTGGCCTAATTCGTGGAAAGTTTGAAATGGTAGACTATGAGAACGAGAACGTCTATGCCTACACTAGGACATATGCTACAGGGCAATACCTGATTGTCTGCTCATTCTCTGAAAAACAAGTGGAATGGATGTGTCCGATCGATCGTGGCAGCTTATTGCTTGGAAATTACGCGGAGAGAGATAACGAGATGGAGGCTTTACTGAGTTTGCAGCCATATGAGGGGCGAGTGTATTTTCTGCCCGCCTCAAATTAAAAAACAAAACAACACCAGCTTGAATAGATTCCCTAGATACGTCAAACTGAAGCAATTTCTATATGAAAAAACTGATTACAGCTTTTCATTACGGGTTAGGTTTAGACTTCTTTGTTGTTTGGCTGGAAATTATGAAGACCAGAGCACAATTGTATCTCTATTAAAGAGCAATTCGTTGCATAACGCTGGATTAAAGGCCTATTGCTATGCTAATGCTGCAAACTATTTGTGAAAGCCGTTGATACCGTAGCGAAGGACGTGCTCCTCCGCCACAGCAAGAATCGCCTTCTTCAGAATTGCAACAATGGCCTTGATCTCCTCCTCTGTAACAATGTATGGCGGCGCTAGGATGACTAGTTCTACATCAATCTTCCCAGTCTTGCCCAAATTTCCCAAAACATTGAGGCCCAATTCTGCCGCAACTTCCACTATGCGGCTCGAGAAATTGTGCTCAACAGGGAATGGAATTTTGGTAGCGGGATCACGCATAAACTCGACAGCCCAGAACAGTCCTCTTCCACGTATATTTCCAACATGTGCCAGAGGGCCAATTTCTGTGATCAACTCTGCCTCAAGAAACCGGCCCATACTTGCGACATGATCTAGGATGTTTTCCCGCTTGATGATTCTCTGGACAGCGAGGGCCGCCGCGCAAGCTGTTGGGTGAGCTTGAAAAGTATGGCCGTGAGCGAGCACCCTGCTGCCCCCAGCTAGGCCATCAAAGACTTTTTGATTCAACAAGACACCAGACAGGGGGACGAAACCTCCTCCTAATGCTTTTCCAATCATCTGAATGTCTGGCCCTCTGATACCTTCCTGCTCCCAGGCATGCATCGTGCCTGTCTTTCCCATACCGCACATGATCTATCAACTGTCAGTCTCTCTCTGATAGGAATAATGAGTATGCAAACCTCATCAAGTATCAACAAAGCTCCGTATTTATCGCAGATTTCGCGAACTGCCTTGAAATATCCAGATACCGGGGGCACGCATCCAAGTGTTGTACCGCTGACCGTCTCGGCCACAAATGCTGCAACAGTATCCGGGCCTAAGCGCAAGAATTCGTCCTCTAGCTGTAACTTCAATCTCTCAACATATTGAGCGTCGGTTTCGAATTCTCCTTTTGCCCTGTAGCTATAACATGGATCAACAAAGCTGACATTATTAGCTATCCAGGGGCGGTAATATGCACGACGCGATTCGTGGCCAGAGACGCTCAGCGCACCGAGGGTGTTGCCGTGATAACTTTGCTTCCTAGCAATAAAGTTGATTCGTTTGGGCTGTCCGACTTCGCAAAAGTATTGTGTTGCCAATTTTAGGGCCGCATCCGTTGCTTCGCTACCAGAGTTGACAAAAATGGCCTTGACCAGGCCTCCAGGGGCATCTTTCAAGAGTTCGGCGGCCAGAGACTCAGCAGCATCGCAAGTATACCGACTTCCAGAATAGACGTAGGCGATCTTGTCAAGTTGGTCGACGATGGCCTTTGTCACCTCGGGCTGATGATGTCCTAAGACGGAGACGGATGGTCCAGCAGAGGCATCATAGACAACTTGCCCGGATTCTAGAATAAACGAGATGCCCGAGCCTGACACAATCTTCTGTGGTTCATATGCCAAGGCACGATGAAGAACATGTGACTTGGCAACAAATTGATTGACGGGCATCTTGAGATAGGAACGAGAGGGGAAGCATGGGTTCAACCTGCGAAAGCGATGGGAAGCGTAGGAGCATGGAGAGTCGCTCTCTTATCTTGCCTTGATCATATCTTCTCTTAGGATTCTCTTATTGTCATATCCATAACTGGAGTATCATTCATCTGGCTCTACCTCGCATCGTGTCTTTCCATCAGTGCTAAACGTGGGAATAGATCGTGGTGAACTTTAGTCTGAAGCCGTTGACTTGTTATGGTTAGCAGCGCCGAGCGCTTACGGCGAACCACTCAACAGTGCTTATTAGTCTAGGTCTCGAAGAACCGAAGACGGAGCAGCACGAGACCCGGAGAGATGTGGCAGATAATGGAAGATAAGACTGGCTGAACCAAACTAGCTGCTTACCAAGGGCAATAAACTCCAGCTATTGAGGTTAGTTCTATTATGACAATGAGTCTGGGGAAGGGAAAGCATGGGGAAGGCATTTTGAACCTTCATTTTCACACCGGAATTGCCATGGGACTATCATCATGATAACGAGACCGTTGATACATAAAATGCAATCATCTGCTCCATGAAAATCAGCATACCATCGCCGACTCATCTTGAGAAGATAGCAGAATTCTCAAGTATTTCCATCATCAGCTAACTTTTTTACTATTTCTAAATTGACCACAAGGTCATCATTCGTGGTCACCAACATGACAGAAGAAATTCATGTTGCTCCGACTGAGAAAGCCAACCATGAAATAGACATGGGCGATGTGGCCATTGCCAAGCAGGCTCAAGATGCTCGAGTCACAGAGCACAGCCTGACTCTCAAGGATGTCTTCCTTCATTATCGATCAGCAATTGGGTGGTCCTTTGTCTTCAGCCTGGGAGTCATCATGGCCGGATTTGATCCGCAATTGGTCGGTACTCTGATTGCAATCCCGCGCTTTCAACATGATTTTGGCGTTGAGCTTGACGATGGATCGTTTGTTGTCCAAGCAAAGTGGCAGTCTGCTTTCAATCTTGGCGTCCCTGTCGGACAGGTGCTTGGTGCCTTTGGTGTTGGATGGCCATTGGAGAAGTTTGGACGTCGATGGACCCTAGCCGCCTGTTGTTGCGTTACTCTCATCACCGTTGCACTACAAACTTCTGCTCAAAACCGACCTCAGATCCTCATAGCGGAGCTTATCAACGGCGTGGTTCTTGGTGCCTACCCCGTCATTGCTCCTACGTATATCTCAGAAGTTACCCCTGTGGTATTCAGAGGCATTGCAGCGGCTTTTGTCAACTTGTCATTCGTTATCGGCCAGCTTGTTGCAAGTGGCGTTTTGGCTGGCTGCCAAAATCGCGACGATCGATGGGCATACGATATACCATTTGCAACTCAACTGATCTTCCCCATCATCATTCTGGTCTTGTTGCCATTTTGTCCCGAGAGTCCATGGTGGTTGGTCCGCAGAGGCGAGCTTCAGAAAGCCGAGCGATCTCTCAAACGCCTCACGAGCGAATCGGTCGATACGAGCATGCTTCTTGCTCACATACAGCTTACAACATCCCTCGAAGAAGTAGAGACTGATACAGCCACATTCATAGACTGCTTCAAAAACACAGATCTCCGACGAACAATCATCTGCATAATGGTCTATGCCATTCAGCCACTGGTCGCCAACTTCTTGGTTATCGGATACGCTGTCTATTTCTTCGAATTAGCTGGATTGGAAGCAAGCGACTCTTTTAACCTTGGGGTTGGGCTGCTAGGCGTTGGTTTCGTAGGAACTGTTCTCTCTTGGTTCCTGCTCAATCAATTCGGCCGCCGCACAATCTACAACCAAGGCTGCAGCATCTTGGTTATCATTGTTCTCTTAGTAGGAGTTCTCGACGTTGTGCCTGGCTACGGTACTACAAATCACAACGTCGTTTGGGCGCAGTGTTCCATGATGGTCGTCTACAATTTCTTCTACGATTTGACAATCGGCCCGCTCTGCTTCGTCTACTTGTCGGAAGTTTCATCGGCAAAACTGCGAGACAAGACAATCGCCATCGCAACGACTATAAACGCCTTGATCAATGTTGCCTGTGCTGTAGGCATTCCTTATGCCATCAACCCGGATCAAGGCAACCTGCGCGGCAAACTCGCCTTTGTCTTCTTCGGTGTGTCTCTACCTTGCCTCGCATGGTGCTTCCTTGCACTGCCGGAAACCAAGGGTCGGACCTTTGAAGAGTTGGACATTATGTTCCAGAGAAAAGTCCCGACAAGGAAGTTTGCGACGTATGAATTTTCAGAGTACATGGAAGAGGATGAAGTCATTGCAAATAGGGAAGGATAGCTTAAAGATGGGTCGTAAACTACGGTCAAATTCGATAGCAACACACAGTCATAAGTTTAATAATTGAAGTAAGAATTCAATGCCCTAATGATCATTCCAGTATCCCATTGTTCCATTTATCCATTTGTAAAACCGTAGCTCGCGCGATGCCCATAATCTCTATATATACATACCAAATGGTTAGCGCTTGAAGATGGAATCAAGAAAGCGCGAGTTCCCAGTTCCTCCGCCTAATGATATCAAGCCAATCTAATAAATAGCCGGTCATCGGTCCTGTGATACTCGTATGTTGCAGCCATAGTTCCTCCAAGACTGACAACGCAGAGGCGGCGTTTTGGAAGTGTCGATACGTCGCAATGTGCTGCAATCTTTCGCGGATAAACTGCATTGTTGACTTAGATCGAGTCTCGCCCCCAGCCATGAAGAGAGGGAACAGCGAAGTGCATTCTGGGAGGCATCCTAGTGGCATCTGCTCTAATTGATATACAATTGAAGCAACCTGGCTTGCAATCTTGCCTTCAAGCTCTGTGCTTGATCCTAGTATTCGGCGTCGCATCACACGGTATAGGTGTATGAGAGCTGAGCTTCTATAGGCCTCTGCAAGATTGACAAGGCACTGACTGTTCGATTCTGGGCATTTCCAATCTTGAAGCTCAAATTCTATTGAATACGCTTGAGAAATAAGATCTACCGTTTGAGAAAGCGAAGAATCATCGGTGTCGTGTGGAGAGGAAGATGTCGACTCAGAGTCGCTGCAAGGTGTTGAGCTTTCCATTTGCCGGATAGCGTCACCACTCAGGGAGCTGATTTTAGAAATCAGGGCTAATGGCTCAGATGCCAGCCCAACATACGAATCCAATTCATTTATCGGCTGTGGGATCCAGTATCGCCCTGGTATCAGAGGTTCGCGATCCAATGTTACGCTCATGAGGATGTCGTGATACGCGAAATTTCTGAATAGCCATCGGATCTCATATGGAAGATTCTTCGGGCTTTCACTTAATGACGATAAGAGCCAGGCTTGTCGGATTATGTGCGCGGCGCCCACAAGATGGTTACGCCACTCCGCAGTATCGCCCAAGACGGCCGACATTGAGCAGAAGACGAGACAGCAAGCCAACGAGACTTCAGGTAATTCATTCTTTAACAAGGATGCTGTGAAAGACTGCAAAGCTGTAGATCGATGCTCGAGGGCTTTGATACGATAGGTGTCGTCGCAAAGGGATAGATGAGATGATGACCATGCAATCAACATATCAAGAAGCGCTTTCTCCTCAATTGCCATGGGTAATAGCACTGCTTTGTGTTATTCACTCTGCTGTACTAGTTAGAAGAAAAGTTTGAGAGTAAAAGCGTACCAGAAAGGAATCCGTTATTTTCCAAATTGGTAGTTAGCATAGTATTGAAGACCTGAACGTAGTATCTCAGCGCCAACTTGCGATCAAGTGAGCGACGCGCAAGTTCCGGGGCATCGCTCTGGAGAAATTGAAAAGGAGCAGGTGCGATTGGGATGGTCAATGGCACGCAGGAATGATCTGTCGCTCGTGGTCGCTGTAATACCGAATGTGAGGAAGAGGCAGAGCCTTCGCCTACATCACGGGAACCCTGCCAGTGACAGATTAGATTGAGACGAACGCAATGACCACAAACATTTCGTACACCATCGCATCGCTTTCTCCTACACGTTTCCCCTCCAGTCAATTACCCAAATCCGATTCACGGGGGTAGATGTCCCGTACCTTCGACGGCATGTCAAGCACCCCGTTCTATTGCGCCTCCGTGGGACGTACTCTTCTGGCTGACCTTGATTGACCGAAATATTCGGCAAGGAATTATGCAGACTCTCAGCCATGGGAGACGTTTGGAAATGCCCTGGGTCCAAATAACAGTTGTAGAATCTTGATTCATTCGTCAGCTCGGGGGTCTTGCTCCGTATTACTCCGGAATTTGCTCTCGCCTTTAATTCCAACCCCGCACGACTAGAGCAACGTTAATACGGGATAGGCTAGGGACTTGACGGTCTCTTTATCATTTAGAACAGGAGACAATGAATTTTCCGAGAGATTGCCGATCGTGGTTGGGCACTTGATAAGAGCTGACTAGGGAAACGGAGACTACCTATGGCTTAGACTTTGGTGTACATAGCTAAAGGAGTTTCGTGGTTTGAATTGCAGAAGGAATCTTAAATTCGATGAATATGGACTCATGTGATTGTAGGCAGTCTAAGCACTCTGTTATAGGCAAACATATCAATTGTATGAAGAAGACAAATTCTCCAATATCACATCTCAGTTACAGCTATATTGCCCGCCTAGCTTCATGAACTGAATAATTGAAGATTGTCGGGTAAAGGAAGGGAATAGCAACTATTACACATCGAGACGATCGGTCCACATATGACCAACAGGGAATGAGGCTTGAAACTGGGGAAAATCCATGTTCTTTTTATCCCTCTATATAATAAGTAGAAACTAACTCAATGTATTATAATTATTTATTCAGCAGAAAAAGAAAAAGTCGCTCTTTTGTTGTTATCATCTCAACATATTACCAGGTCTATATTCCTCCTCATCATTGTTAAAACACGATTTGAAACTGTCCGCATCTAGACATGCCGTATGTGTTTCCATCGGAATTCGGACTGACGTTCATTACGGGATGTCCCCTTGTGCATGCGTTAGAGGTGCAACCCTCGACTGGGACATTTCGGTTTGTGTAAAAGTTCTGGCAGATAGAACCACCTGCAGTCATCTTCCAGAAGACGCAGTCCCTATTGTTGAGGCAGTTTTGGCAACAGTTGGAGAGATCTCCGTTGCCATCTCCCTGGAAGCCAAGGACTACATTGGGGCTGTATGGAGGGCCTTGGAGGAGATATTTGTTGATGTTGGCAGGGTCACAAGGATTCTCGGTCTGGGTGACTACGCTTCCGGTAGTGACGGTGGTGGCTGCAACGACTGTCGTCGTAGTGGATTCTGTGGCAACTGTGGTTTGCTCAACCGTGCTGGTCGAGGTAGCCGTTGCGGTGCTGGTCAAGGTAGTAGTCAAGGTAACTGTCTGCTTGGGCGGCGGAGCTCCATTGACATGAGTTGTGGACGTCTTGGTGGTGGTGACGGTTTTGCAGTTTCGATCCGTAACAGTCTTGGTGATGGTTTTGGGGCGGTCTTCCTTGGTTTTGGTGACTACCTTTGTGACGCGAGGGCCACAGCTCTTTGTCGAAGTCAGGAAGCATGCTAGAAGATTGACAAGGTTAGCTTGAACTCCCATGGCTATGTTATTATGTATTTTCCTTTGAACCAACGTACAGCAATCTCGAGGCAATTCGTCATAGTGGTTTTCAGAGCGCTTAAAAGTAGGTGCCAGAGTTAAAGTGGGTGGTGGTCCCTGAGCGGCTGTTGTTGGTGGCCCCTGAGCGCAAGTTTCAGGAGCCCAGCTGAGCATCGAAGTGCTGTCTTGTGTACTGCCAATTATCAGTTCAGCATGTGTAGACCCCATGGCGGACATACGAAGCTACTCACGTCGTAACTGTGGTGCTGGAAGTATCAGTCTCCACAGAGGTTGTAGTGATGGTGACAGTCAAGAAATCACTCTCCACTGCTGTTGTAGTTGCGACCGCCGTCAAAGTGGCCCAGGCTGTGGTTGTGTCTTGACGAGTGCTTCAAGAGGCAATCGGGTTAGCCAAATGTTTTTCATTCCCATTGAACGCTCTAACATACACAGGGTCTGTGACTGTGACAGTTTTGGTTGATGTTTTGGTGCTTGTTGCGGGCTTCACGGTTTTGGTTTGCGTAATGGTAGGGTGGCGCGTGACCGTGGTAGTCTTGATGACGGTTCCTTCAGGAGCCTCACATGTCGAGCGCCGGATATGTCGAGAGTCTAGTTGTAAAACAAAAGAGATTAGCATCTAGAATCCTTTTTCTATCCCTCCAGAAATCAACTCACTGATGATAGCATTGCACTCTCTTGCCGTCCACCAGGAGACATATCGGCATGAAGGCGCAGGAGGATGGCAAGCTGGGTCACGAGCATCCACAGCGTGAATGACGGACAGCGCAACGGAAAGGGTGAGCAACTTCATCCTGAATTGATGATAGACACTGGGGTTGGGAACGATGATAGAGCTAAGACGATCATGAGAGTGGCTGCTTCAAGCTATTTATTACGCCTACAAGATTCATGCAATTGGAGATCATCCCTACATTATTGACACTCCTCGTGGACGCCAATTGCCGGCAGCTCTTCTTTGAAGCTATCGCTTCCTTTTTTGGTCATGGCCACTGTCTAGCTAGATCGATAGTTAGAATCTGAGTCCCTCGGGGCCTAGATTCGTGAGCTGGCTCTCCGGTGGCCTGAGACTATTCACATTTAGACTGCCGCCAGCAGTCCTTCAGGCTTAGCGTTCACCACTTTACCCCTGTGCCGGCGTCTTCGATTGGGCTCTGAGACGGCAATTATTGGTAAGATTAGCGGGCCGCGAAGTCCGTGCTGTGCGTTAGCCGCTGAGTTATTGTTCAGCTGGATGGAGATGATCTTTGTTTACCGAGTTGCTGGAAAGCATTTGCCCCCTTACCTCACGTACCGTTATGAGCTGAAAGCTACCCAAAAGTGGTCTCATTTACTTGAAGGTGGCCATTGGGCTCGAAATCTAACGTGGTATTTCACTGGTCTCTGGTTGTAGGTGATAGAAGTCTTCCTTTTATCGGAGACTTGACAGAGAAAGGTTCAAAAGTGAGTGCTATGATTCAATTCCAGTGATCGACGCGTTCGATGATTAAATGATCGCTGCGGTTTAACCCAACGTGATGAATTTGATGACAGGGTTTGACGCGTCCCAGGCTCGCTTCAGTACTCTCCCAACTCCCAATCGACATGCCATCTCCCGTTGGTCATCCCATTCAATCAGCATCACATTGTACATCAGACTCTGTGCTGACGGTGTACATGCTGAAATGATAGGATTGAATCCGGAAAACTGGGCTTCAGACAAGACGATAAATTCGTGTCGAGACGGATCAAGCTCTGGCAACCTTTCCCCGTTCAAGATGAGGTATCCACTGAGTTGTCTCTCTGATTGCCCCAGAAATAGGTGCACTTTGATGGGACGGTCCATTGACGACTCTCTCTGGCCCGCAATGAGACGATCTCTTCCCCGAGGAGCTATGTGGAACAGGGAGCAAGAGGTCCAAAATCGTAGCAATGGACGCTGCTGTGAACCGAGATTGCTTGTTGGCAGAACGTTCAGTGAATCAGCCAGCAGCTCGAAAATAGGCACCCAACAGAACGTATTTGAGCTCTTCTCTTTTCCAAACCGTGACTCATCTATCCCGATTCCGATCTGATTGATAGGCTTGGCGATCTGGCCGTTCTCCGTGTAGTACCATTTTACAGCAGGCACTACTCTCTCAGTATTCGAGGAGTCCAGTTCTTCATAATGCGCTTGCCCCTTCCATCCCACCCAGGACCAACTGGGCAAATGCTTCTCGTTACCTTCTCTCCGCTTTTGCCGAATTGACGGAATCCACAACAATGCCTGATCCAGGTATGCTTCTGGAAGGCCCGCAAGAAACCTAGAGTTCAGTCGGCGTTGAAGGATACTCCCAAACCCTTGAAATGCGGCCAAAACGTCATCTTCAAAGGTAAAACGCCTCTGGGTGTAGCCCTGAACCACCTCCACGTACTCAGTAATTGCATATGGCCGATGCAGGGGCAGAGGCGACAGCGACGGGTTCCGCTCTGGCTGGCGTTTGTTGAACCTCAACCCGTCGCGCAGCTGTCTTAGACGCCTCACTGGCCGGACTTTGATGATGGATGAAGTATCCTCTAATAGATGGCTAGAGGCACACTGCCACACCGCCTGACCTTCTGTTGTGAAAACTAGGAATCGCTGCGATAGCAGTTGTTCTTGGTACGTCCACCCTCGAGTTGCCCATATTGACTCTGTAATATCACCCGGCGATGGAGCAGCAACCACAAGAGTGAGATCGTGCCAGATAGTGGCTGCCGACTGGTTAAAGATTCGCGAGCCTGCGCGAACTCCTCTCAGTCCTGCATTGGCATCTGATCCATACGCAGCAACTATTGTCAGGATAGCAGCTCCGTAGATACTGTCCATCTTGGCAATTTGTTCCTCTTTTGAAGGTGAGTCCTGAATAATACAGAGAAGATCCACCCATAGATATCTTTCACCCATAGATCTGACCACGTGTATTGCGTCTTGAACCGTCTTGGGTAAGTCGGCCATATGCTGTGTTAGGCTTCCAGGGCGTTTAAACTTCTCTGCGTTATCTTCACTGAGTTGAAATGTTGCAGCCCGGCCCCAGACATAGCTAAGTGCGATATAACGACAAGCTTGGGGCGCTAGAATGATGCAGTTATCGATGGTATCAATGAGACGGAACTCCTGAGGCAAGGGTAACTTGTCTATTTCCTGAACAAGGTCCCGACAATACGGTATATGCCGCGTCTCGCAATCTCGGAGCCACTTGCTGCACAAACCCAAGTCTATGCTGTCTGTGGAGACAAACTGGGCACACTGAAGGTGATCATCGCCTCTATCCGTGAAAATAGGGCAAATGTTGAACTTGATCTCGATATCTTCTGGAGTCGGCACTGGTTGCAGATTGACTTTTAGGATGATAGTTGTTGTGAATTCGGTGATGCCATGTTCTGCCACGCCCCTCTGGCATTCGCGATCGAAGTTGAAGACCAAAGGTTGGCCGTCGACCTGGCGAATAACACGACCACTGCATGTCAGACGTCGTGCCTCTCGGAGCAGAAGACTACAGAACTGACAAGTAGCTTCAACTTTTTCGGCGTCTTTAACGAAAATAGGTTTCAGTTGAAAATTCGTAACATCAGGATCAAACAAGGCCGAGAAATTAATCTGCCAACAGTCTCCGCACAGCGAAATTGGATTCAACTGTATGCCCTTGAATTCATCTACTAAAGAATCCATAATGCTCTGACATGTGAAATTTACGGCCAGATGTATCCGAATATGCGAAGAGCCTCTTATAAGATAGAGGAAGAGATGGAAGAAATGGAACGTTGCTGCCTATATTGTATTTTGCTAAAAGTGTCTCAGCCGAGAACCATGAACAACTGATCCTTCAGTGGGCTAAGCACGTGATAAATGCATTACTAACACCAGACTGGCAGCTTGCTTTGCGATATATTTACACTGCAGCTGTTGTGAAATGGAAATTTAATCTTGCAGCTTATACGATGCAAACTTCCCAACTCCTGTGTCACTGCTAGGGATTAGTGTTATTATAAAAAAATTTGCGACGTCTCAGAGTAAAGCAGCCGAAACTCTGCTTTGTCATGGTAAACAGCCTCCAGAAAACACTCCTTGATGGCAAAAAAGTATACATGTTGATTTGTTCCGAAGACGGGCGCAAAGTCCAAACAGTACACGAAACAGCTGACAACCACCTCTAGGGGAATGGGTGAGTAGAACTATACAGCAGCTGGGGCCCGTTGCTGACGTCAATAGCCATATCGTAACGATCATTGAATACTAAACATGACAGACATGCCCATAATTACCTCTACTCGAGTAAATATATTTTTCTCGGAGACATGGATAAGAAAGCAATGATGACGAAACAACATAGAAAGATCCGTATTAAAACGAAATATTAGCGTGTCCTGACGAGTGGCCAAACATCCCGCATCGACCAAATCCCTCCTGGCAACCCTTCATGCAGTGGTTCTCGGTAGCTCCACACCATCCCTTCTCAGAACAACAATTCTCAATTTTCTGATTCATACACGTAGTGTTGCCATGGGCAGGACCGCAACGGCCGTCAGTGGTAGGTACCGGACGAATCAGGGGGAGGGACCCGTTAAGGGAAGAGTGAGATCCGTTAGTAGGGAAAGAGATGTTGGTTCCCGCGTAGGGAGGCTTGGGGACTCTGAACCGGAACTTGTCCAAAATGGAACGAGGGCTCTTGCTCTTGATACGAGGGTTTTCAGCCGAAATTGAATCTTGGTCCCTCTCCAACACACGCTTCTCAACTCCTCCGTCTGGGCCTCGGTACCAGTTCTCTTCTGGATCTTCGAGACACTCACCGACAGTTACGGTCTCGAAGCCGGCGTCGTGGATGAGATCGATAAGGTACGGGACGAGAGTATGCACTGATTCAGCTACTGTGTCGTGCTCGATTTGGAGGTAAGAATCAGTCTCTGGGTCCTTTCCATCAAATGCTTTTTCAGCGATATCTTGAGAGATCTCAATTTCATCCTCGTGCAAATAACCTTCCGTGTCGAGATTGAAATACGTGACGTGATATCCTAACTCGCCGAGCCACTCATCGACGTCTTCATCACTAGCAGAGTAGGGGGGCCGCATATATGTCGGAAAGAAGCCAAGAAGGTCCGCAAAGGCAATTTCGTTATAAATCATCTGCTGGCGGACCCGTGACCTGTCGACCGTGGACAAGCGTTGATGGGACCATGTGTGACTACCAATCTGGTGCCCATCCGCCTGCATACGATAGATGAGATGAGGCCAGTCTGTGGATGGGTCGTTGATTGCCCCCTTTCCAAGATTGCGGCCTGTAATGAAGAATGTAGCTCTGACCCCACGTTCCTGTATTGTTCTATCAGTGCTTATTCACCCCAGGTTAGCATTATTTCTAAACGAACCTCAAGAATGTTCAACAGCTCCTCGGTATGATACCACGGGCCATCGTCAAAAGTCAAAGCCACAGTGCCTGGCTTGGAGCAATGGTAAATCCCTTCTCCATATGGCACGGAACCAACATGATCTCGGGGCCAGTCTTCGGTGTCAGGCCCTTCAGGTCGCCTGTTGGCATCACAGCGAGGACCATAGTCAAACTGGCACGCAGGAGCCGAACAGTAAACGTACCCGATTCCGCACCATCTAGATAACGTCAGCTTCCTGTTATCAATACTCCTAGAGTTGAAGATACGTAAACGCTTACCCCTCGCTGGAACAGCATTCATCGTTCTGGCACCTAGTGCCGAAATTGACACCACAACGACCATCCTCCGTAATTGGATAATTTACCGACAATGGCGTGAATTCATTATTGGCAGCCTCATTGACAGCTCTCTTCGAATGAGCAGAAAGCGAAACCCTACTTTTAGCTACTGGGCTTTGAGGAACAAATGATGCCCCATATGCACCCTCAATAGAAAGAGCTGCGAGGGAGAGGCTGAGAATGAAAGAGCGGCCAAACATTCTGGATAGCTTAGTGAGAGAGAGTTGGGTGACCAGTAATGAGCGTGTGGTTACCCAAGGTTGGGATGTTCAGACGGAATACACGAGATATATATACCTAGAAGAGGCGGTGCAGTTGACGATTTATTGAGTTTGATGGACAACGAACGGATGTTGGCAACAAGCCTATAACAATATAAAAATAAGCATATTGATGTCGAGGGTTCACCCCCATCACATCACCAACAACAAAATTAAAAGTCAATAAATGAAAACGAGATGGAAACGAGAATTCAATTGGGAAAATCAGGCCGTATTAGGCAAGAAAGCCCGACAACAAAGAACCAGTGGATAGGATGATCAGTGGGGAAAAGAGCTATAACAAAGGGAAGCGAAGTGACAATGAGTAAACAGACTACCTAGTATATGGCCAAGCAGCCTCCGGGGCTAATGTTACCGACCTGTTGGTAGGATTGTGGACCAATAAAGTGAGTTGGTGGGTAAGGTAACAACGTTGATATAACCTTCTGATAATTTGAAACAACACGGAGTTCAAGCTTTTTGTTTGTTGCCGCAATCGTATAGGAAATGTGGAGTTTTCCGAGATAAACAAAAGCCCCTTGAGCCGAATATCGTCATAAGGATCCGTATAGGAGACAAAAGATATCGTGTGATTTCACTCAGATCCACCTCTGAGGTTTTTATACGAACAGGGCTGATAGCTTGACGAGAAGTTGAACGCGTTAGGACATCTAGCGGTGTTTGAGAAGATACCTTCAACACAAAGGTATTGGTGCACAGCTCTTATATGTGCAATCACCCTTGCTTCCAAGGAATTCGGGCGGCATATGGTAATTTCTCATCTGCAGACGTTTCGTAGTACCGGACCTCCAGCTAGAAACACGGGGCTTGAATATCGACATTGTCGGCGTATGAGAGACAGCTGCATACTGAAGTCATAGCCCGAATTCGACCAATGGGATAGATTAATTATAGAATGCCTTCAGTTTCGACTGCATGTAGTAGATAAGAGCAATATATTGCTGCAGTACGAAGCGCCACCGGATGGTGCCATTTCTTGGTCGTGAATACGAAGCATCACGCACCATCAGAGAGCGCTGAACGAGTTGCCATGATAATAATTGGACTCCACAGGTATATTAAACTTGTTGAACATCAAAGCTTAACCGGCATGAGGTCCGTAAGGCCGTCTCGTATTGATCTATGAATACTTTTAGACTTCCAATGAAACCGTATAGCTGGACCAAGGCACACACACGTGTAGCCTGGGTTAACTTGGGTCGGCTGATCTCGTCCGCCTGTTTGAAGGGGTTGGACAAAAGGTTGGTCAGCTTCTCTGCAACAGGACTTGGGTCTGTGTAACGGTTGCTGGGATGAAGACAGCGCACATGTGCAGATTGTACAGAGTAATTGATCAAAGAAGTAAAAGACGTCATCAAAATTCGCCCAGATTTGCGCCAAAAGGTCAAAGTTACACCAAATATTTATAGCTAGCTATACCATTTGAGATCTTTCCCAGGACAATGAATCTCAGCCCATGAAGCCTATCGCTTTAATCATGACCGAGCGATGCTATTTTTATTAATCTTAGCATCCGAACTATGGCTGTAGAGCTGAGACATTGGTTATCAGCCCATCGCAGAGCATCTGGCCGGATGCGAAAGGAAGAAGAAAAAAGAGGCGGCGCCGCCAGCAACACTGTGGCTCGAAATGCTCCGAGAGAGGCGCCTTGAAGCTTCACCAAGCTCGGCCTAGACTGAACTCTCGCGCCGTTGCTGGGGATCGTTTGTGCCAGGGCGGTGCCTGGAATGACGATGGAAGCTTTACGGAGCGCCACGATTGCAACAAAATTGCTCACGCCCCTCCGTACAGAATTTCGTGGCTGCGGCAAAGGGCGGGCGGACCCAACCGGTGAGAAACTGAAGCTGCGAGCTGTGCTTGTAAACGCCAAGATTGAACGAACGAGTCAAGGAGACTGAGGGAAATTTTCAAATGAAAGAAAAGGAGGAAGAAAAGAAAAAGAAGAAAAAGAAAGAAGTGGCAAGCTAGGACAGGACAAGACAAGCCAGCGATGAGAGAAAATCCTGATGTGATCTGGACCAAGAACGAGGTGGGCTTACATGGAGCCACTTACAAGTAAATGAAAATATTTGAAGCCAAGATCCAGAGTACGGAGCAATACCCAGCACACTTTTCTGCGGAGTACGAGTACAGCCAAAAAAAAAAAAAAAAAGTGGCTCGAATAGGCCACTGATTCCGCCGTTCCCTATCGCTTCATCGTCTTCCGACTGACTGCAGGACCCTTGTGGTGGTGTTTGTGGAAACACGCCGTGAGAACATGAACCTTTGCTCTTCTTACCGCCCACCGTCAGCGACCACCCTTGATGGGCTTCAATATACTACATAGTATACTACATAAGGTACCTAGTAATACAGTACATAGAGCCCCCATCTTCCAGGGGGTTGCACACGACTTGGCCACCGTATTCGGCTCTTGGTGGTTGTCATTGTCCCAGCAGGCGATTGGCTGTATTACGGCCTCAGTCCGACTCGTCTCACCGGCCGGGGCTTGGCCATGATGGATTTAAGCCAGACTCGGCATCAGAGGCCGACCGATGCAGGATTTTAGTTGCCCGCGACGGTGAAGAGTTTTCCCCAGCGCTCCATCGTGGCCCGCTTTAATCTGATCATCAGATAACGCTGGAGCATCTCCGAGTCGTTAAACCTGCTGGGTCTTTTGCTCCTTCGGGCCACCATCGCGGCGCAACTTTGTCCGAAAATTTTCTTGATCTAATCGATCGCATCAGGCAAATGTTTTTTGAGTTGACGCTAGAGAATGGGTATATAACTTGTGCTACAGCCGTGGCGCTGGAGAGGCTCCCCTGTTCAGACTCGCATATGCACATGCATCCTCGTCCGCTTCCGGAACCCTTTAGTGAAGCCAATCCGTCGATCTCGGGCTGCGGATCAAGCAGGTGCTTCTTTTTTTTTGTCTCATCATCCTTGGTACAGTAGAGACCAGGAGAGACAGAGAGGGTCACTGAATCGGCGACTCTGACAGACGGTGGCACTGAAATCTCGTGGCCATCGCCTCACTTTCAGCGTCTTCATCACCAACCACCAACCACCAACCATGGCTGCTGACTTGAACCCCGCCTCCCTGCCTGGGGCGGAAAAGACTGCAAGCCAAGTCGTGGCCAACGATCACGAGAAGAGTGCTGCCGACCTTGTCAGGAACATCAAGTCGCCCGGTGTGTCCCGTATCGAGGCCATCTCGAGCGCCATCACCTTGGTCGACCGCATCGCCATCTTCTTCAGCATCCTCCTGCTTGCCTACTGCTATGGCCTTGACGGCACTCTGCGATACACCTACCAGCCGTATGCCACTGGTTCCTGGGACAGCCACTCTCTGCTGTCCACCATCAACGTCATCCGCGCCGTCATCGCAGCGGCTGCTCAACCCACCGCCGCCAAGATTGCCGACGTCTTTGGCCGTGTCGAGCTGATCTGCGTCTCCATCTTCTTCTACGTCCTTGGAACGGTTATTGAGGCTGCGGCCACCAACATCGCGACCTATGCCGGCGGCAATGTCATCTACCAAGTCGGCTATACCATGATCCTGGTGCTGGTTGAGGTCATCATTGCCGACATCACCTCGACCCGTGCCCGTCTCTTCTTCAGCTATGTCCCAGCCTTGCCCTTCATCATCAATGCATGGATCAGCGGCAACGTTGCCAACTCCGTCTTGGGAGCAACCACCTGGCGATGGGGTATCGGCATGTGGTCCATCATTTACCCAGTCTGCGCTCTGCCGCTCATCGTCAGCCTCTCGATTGTGAGCCGACGTGCCAGGAAGCAGGGCCTCCTTGTCAACTACCGCTCATCCTTTGAGCGGCTCGGCTTCAAGAATCTCATCGTCGAGCTCTTCTGGCTGTTGGACGTCATCGGCATCCTCCTCCTCATCGCCGTCTTCGCCCTCATCCTCGTGCCGTTTACTCTGGCTGGCGGCGTCCACAGCCAGTGGCGCACCGCCCACATCATTGCGCCGCTCGTCGTTGGCTTTTGCTGCATCCCATTCTTCATCTACTGGGAGCTCAAGGCTCCTCACCCGCTGGTTCCCTTCGCTCTCATGAAGGATCGAGGTGTGTGGGCTCCGATGGGCATTGCTGTCTGCCTCAACTTTGCCTGGACGATGCAAGGCGACTTCCTTTACACCGTTCTCGTCGTCGCCTTCAACTTCTCCATCACAACCGCGACCCGAGTCACGTCTCTGTACTCGTTCGTCAGCGTGATTATCGGAGCCATTATCGGCTTGGTGGTTTACAAAGTTCGCCGCCTCAAAATCTTCGTCGTCGCCGGAACCTGTCTCTTCATGGTAGCCTTTGGATTGCTCATCCGGTATCGTGGATCCACCACGGGCTCCAGCCGAGTCGGCGTCATTGCTGCTCAGGTTGTTCTGGGTCTCGCTGGAGGAATGTTCCCTTACACTGCCCAGGCATCTCTCCAAGTTCGTTTGAAGCACGAGCACTTGGCCGTCATGACGGGTCTCTACCTGGCAGTATACAACATTGGATCTGCCTTGGGAAATACTATTTCTGGAGCCTTGTGGACCCAGCTGCTCCCCAAAGCTTTGGAAACCAGACTGGCAAACATCAATTCCACGTTGGCGATTGAAGCATACGGCAACCCTCTTGGGGCCATCCTTCCATACCCTCCTGGTACACCTGAGAGAGACGCCATCGTTGATTCGTATCAGTACATCCAGCGCCTGCTTGCCATCACGGGCATCTGCATCTGCGTTCCCCTCATCGCATTTTCTCTCGCAATTCGCAACCCTCGCCTCACTAGTGAACAGACTCTGGCTGTGGATTCAGACGTAGAAGAGGCGCAGGTGGAAAACGCACAAAAATAAGCGTGGAGCAAGGCAGATCAAGAAAGCAGAGTTGGTTTGAAAGAGATGAAAAGTTGCATAGCGATCTTGCATGTGGAAAGATAGAGGGGGTAATGAAATGTTCCTATTCCCACCTGTTTATAATGTATATAATTACCAGCATTAAATAGTAATGATGATTGCCGTTCAGTATTCCGAGACTCTGGGCTACACATACCCCGTTCCTCTTAATCAACCATGCGTTCATGTATGATGAATATCTAATTAGTTGAATATTATTAGTATAAAACAATATGAACCAATCAATGCCGCCAGTCTACCCATATCGGGAAGGAAGAGCGCTTTCAACCCTTGACAAAGAGAGCTGATGATGGATGAAGTTGTCTGAGACGAAACGATGCGATCCCATTCCGCACCGGGTTATTTTACCACCATATTTATCAAGTGTGTGCGCATAATCGTGCGTATTTTTGTCTTACGCCGGTTCCGGCTGGTTCTGAGCAAGAGTCTCACATACATTACCCTACATCGCGAAAGTCCGGAAAAGGTATAGAGTCTGGATATGGAATACGTGTTATAACTCATGTCCTAGCGCTTCGGTATGATTCCATTTCTATGGGGAATACATTCGTATCAAAGAGAGACATGAATCGTACAAAAGACGACACGGCAGATGAGGCGGGGAACGCGTGCGTCGGATAATGCTTGTGCATACCCGATGCTTCTCACGCTGATTAAATTTGGGGCAAATTATCTACGGCCAAAAATCATTGCTTTATTGGTGAGGTACTCTCGGAACATTAATTTGTCTTAGATCCAGTAAAAGCAACTGAAGAGCCATACAGCCTCTAAGAGGCAAGATCAGTGGCAGCAAGACCAGGACCAAGGTAATAGCCTATTTTACGAGACAAGCCATGCTTCGACGTAACCTTTCGGGATTCAACTGAGATCGAGTGCCTCGGCTACCATTTACCGATCTATATCCCGTCTCATCTGCGGAGTATGCAGCAGCTTCAATCGTATGGCACGTCGGCTTTTCCCGAGACGCGTGGAAGCTGGCCCTAGTAACAAAACCGATCAACTTCAATCTCCCAAAAGCCTCCTGTCCGTACCCCTCTCCGGAGAGATGATCCCTTGGGCGTCAAGGCAACTGTTACCCCGCAACTCTGTCGACTCATGTTGCTCCAATGAGATTCTCGCCAACTGCAGCTCCATGCTGTCTTATGCACGAAATGTGCGGCACGGGTTGCATATGGGGGTGTATAGGGGCTGGCTGAAACTGGATCAATGCCGTAATGCAACGACCTACACATCGAGGCTCCTGTTTAGGCGCATGGATCTAGAACGGGGGCCATAGACATTGCTTGAGAGGGGTACGTAACAGCGCAATTTGCCATCAATGGCTGCTGCAGGTCATGGAATGGACCTTGACTAAGTTCTTTATAATGAATTCTCTGCGTCTGTCTGTCCTTTTCCCTTCCATTGTGTTGCTCCCCTTCGCCAGTAACCTCACTATCCAAGCATCATCGTACTTTGTGATTCTGGTACTCATTCGAGACTATTTACTATATCATCATGTCTACTCACAAAGATGGGACCGAATACGACATTATAATTGCTGGAGGTAAATTCATCCCCGCCAAGATCACCTCCTCATCCATCACGGCGCCTAAATTTGTCTAGGGGGCACCGCGGCCTGTATTGTAGCCGGCCGGCTGGCGAAAGCAGATCCCAATCTATCGATCCTCATTGTCGAGCGTGGCAAGAACAATTTAAATGATCCAAATGTCGTCAATGCCTCCAGATATCTCACCCACCTAGCTCCAAACTCCCAAACGTCCATCGCCTACAAAGCTAACAAAACGGCTGATCTGAATGGTCGGGAGCCCATCGTGACGACTGGAGGCCTTCTTGGCGGGGGTTCATCCATCAATTTTGCAATGTATACACGAGGTAAGGCGGATATAGACCAGCCCAATCTTGACGCAGTGGCAAAACGAATCTATCTAACATGGTATACATAGCATCGGGCGTTGATTACGATTCCTGGAATACTGAAGGATGGGATGCAAAAAGCTTACTACACTACGCAAACAAGTTGGAGACGCATCACCTTGACCATCCTTCAGTTGACAAGAGCGTGCATGGGTATGATGGCCCAATCAATGTCTCCTTTGGCTGCTACAGCGCCAAAGAAGCGCAAGGCGACATACTAGCTGGTGCTGAGGCTGTTGGGCTTCCCGAGATTCCAGACTTGCAAGACTTCAAGACTGTCGGTGGCTTCTCTCGATGGCTGCGATATGTTTCGCCCGATGGCAAGCGACAGGATACGGCGCATCGTTATGTACACCCTCTTATGGCTTCGGGAAAATACCCCAACCTTCATCTGCTCGTCGAAAGCACCATCAGCCGTGTCATTTTCGAAGGCAATCGAGCTGTTGGCGTGGAATATTTGCCAACTGCATACAACCAACCTGTCGCCAATTTTACCAAGGGGCCGCCGCTAACTATTAAGGCGAGAAAGCTTGTCGTGGTATCAGCGGGGGCTCTTGGAACACCGCTGATCCTTGAGCGATCTGGAGTTGGCAATGCTGAATCGCTTAAGAAGCTGGACATTCCCGTCGTTGCTGATCTACCAGGCGTTGGTGAGGAGTATCAGGACCACAACCTGATCTTTTACAAATACAGGACCACGTTGAAGACCGATGAGACACTTGATGACTTGAATCGAGGCACAGTAGACTTTGACGAGGCGGTTGAGAAAAAGAACCCCGTCATTACCTGGAACGGGATCGATCTAGCAGCCAAACTTCGTCCAACAGATGAAGAAGTTGCACAGTTGGATCAAGAGTTCCAAGACCACTGGAATCGTGACTTCAAAGAGCAAAAGGAGAGACCCTTGATGCTCCTAGCCGTCGTCAATACTTACCTTGGCGACTACAAGACTTTGCCTGAAGAACAAAGTGGGCCGTCTCAGTACCTCTCCATTGGCATGTATACAGGCTATCCGTATTCTCGCGGCGACATTCACATCACCTCCAAAGACCCCGACGCACCACCTTCCTTCAACACAGGCTTCCTCTCCAAGAGGGTAGATGTGACAAAGCAACTTTGGGCATACAAGAAGCAGCGAGAGATTTTCCGTCGCACGAATGGGTTTATAAGCGAACTTGCCGTGGCACATCCTAACTTCCGTCGCAGCAGCAAAGCTGCTCTGCGAACCGAGCCTGAAGTCAAGGATGGCTTCAAGGCGCTTGAAGACAGAAAACTTCTACCACCAATTGAGTACGATGAAGAAGACGACAAGGCTATTGAAGACTTTATCCGGTCAAACGTTGAAACGACGTGGCATTCTCTGGGAACTTGTAAGATGGCGCCAAAGGAGAAAGGCGGTGTTGTGGACAAGCATCTCAACGTCTATGGTACAGTTGGGTTGAAGCTTTGCGGTTAGTGACCCATTCCCTCATGGCTATGCTATGTTATTCATTTATGACCACGTCACTTACTATTATGCAGATCTCTCAATTGCACCCGAGAATGTTGGCGCCAATACGAACAACTCGGCCCTTATTATTGGAGAAAAGGGAGCGGATATCATAGCGAAAGAACTTGGGCTGGTATTGTAATCGATGAAAAGTCCTTGGCACACTGCGGCAAACGGGCAATTCTAGCAACCAGGTCTTCTATTATTATAAATGTTATAGAGGTTATATTTATTATCAAGAGGTTCAGTAAAGCTGCAACAGCTAGGTCAGAGGAAGGCTACGCCCCAGCCTTTGATTATAAATGTTATAAATTAAGCATCATGCGATATGTCGCTCAGCGCCAGCTATGCTTGTATGTACAAATTCTCCATTAGTGTAAGTCGTCTCTCTACGCCGGAAGACCCGCAACAAGGCTATCACCGAGATCCTTGATGCTATTCTCAAATTCTTCTGTGCTTCCGGCGCTCCAGTTGGCGCTGGAACCAGGCACAGCATCTGAACCAGTGAAACCAATGTATAGAACATCCTTCTGGTCGTGTCCATTATCGCCGGTGAGGCCATCGTTGGGGAAACAGAGTTGCGCTAGAGAAATAGACGACTCTCCAGTAGAGGTGAAGCCGTTGGTATCACCCCAAACGCCGTAGAACTGTGTTGCGCGTTAGAGATAACTTCAGTGTTGTTGAATAAGATGTGAATGATGATCGCAGCTTACCACTTGATCGTTGCAAACAACGGCAACAATGCTCAAAGGCTCCATTCCAAAATCCTGGGGCGCAAAAGAAGGGCTGGCGCCCTCGTTGCCAAACACGACGTAAGGGTGAATGTTGGCATCGAGGTCTTCAATGCCGAAGCTCTGAACGGTATCTTGGAACGCGGTCTGTCCTTGGCCACTGGGATCATTGGCGCAAGCTCCAGCTGAGTTGTTGGCACCGTCACAATCAACGTCCATATTGTCATAATTGCCGTCGGAACCCTTCAGGAAGATGACATTTGGGATATCGCCACAGTACTGTGCACCGCCTTCGAAGGCATCAGATAGAGGGTTTTGACAATCACCAGACTGATCAAATGTTAGCCGGGTGATGAATCTTTCGGACTTGAGATCTTCTTACGATATGGTTCTGGTAGATTTGTCTCAGGTTATCGGGGAGATCGAAAGCGGATACAACTGTGCCAAGAGCGGCGACTGTAAAGACTGTCTTGGAGTACATGATGAATTTTTGGAGGGATATTGTGAGACAAGAGAAAATTATGTGATTAAACACGGTAGTTTATGCTGTTAATTAACGACAGTAGATTGTGTGATTACAGCTAAGAAGCAATGTGGGCAAGCATTACTCTTTTATGATCTACAAAGTGTTGAATACCCATGGGTCGACATGTTTCCGTAAGCTGGGTCTTTCGTGTGTAAGACGTTTGATGATCGACAGCGACCCATATCAAACAAGGCATATACGAGCATTTCTATGTAAATTTCTGGGAGGGAGTGTCAAGTTCGTGTTTTGAAACCCACCGCACGGCCAAGGCGCTGTGTCATAAGAGAGTGCGAAAATATCTCTAACAAGTGTCGATCAGGCGATGCAGAAATAGGAAGGTAGCCTCGACTTTCGAAACAAAAAGCGTGAAATGTCGATCTAAATTAAGCTCATACGATTCTTACTTTTAACCTTGGCTAAAGAGCGCCTTTTGTCGAGTCTAATTGTAGTAAGGAGTTAGCAGTGTGGAGATGGCTTGCTTCATGTTGGTAGCATGCTGGATTGTACTAAGCCGGCGACCAACTCAGATCAGGCCTGACAGAGGGCGATCGCGTATCGGCCCTTTCCATTGTCTTTCGGTTCACTAGCCGTTTAAGACAGGTAACGCCAACCCTTCCATTATAATTCAACCCTGTGCTCTACTAAGCCTTGACTCTTTAGGGTCCCACTTCCGACTGAAGATGAAGTTGACAAGACGTAGTGTGGAGACATAAAGAGCTGTCATTGAGCAGGGACTTGTTCATTTGGACATGATGTTATTCATTTGTCGGGACCTGTGGACCATTAAACAGCAAAAGGCAAAAAGTAAAGGTGCGCAGGTACGTGGAAGACAGAAGACCAAAATCAAGCTCTATATATCAAAATGAAAGAGAATAAACGCAAGTTTCGGCGATAGTGTATAAGGATAGTATAATCCTACTCTATAATATTTCATGACGATTCTATGCTATGGAAGACGCTTTGGTAACAGAAGTTTAACGCAAAGTAATGTCTACAGCAGGTGAAGATACACCCCGTAAAAATGAGCTATTAATGCTTCATTTCTAGCACCCATCTGTTTTCTAAGCATAATAAATGCAAACATGTATATCGCCTCTCTAAGTAAGCATACCATGCTAGTCTTTGGGCCTAGAGTCGCTACAGAAGCCCCTTGGGATGTTTTCGGACTCGGCTACACACAATGTCAAATGATAACTTAGCAATTAGATGATACTATAGTATGTTTACCACCAGTCTAGTATTACATATATTGAGTATTACTTCCAGTATAGCACCCTTTAGTTCCTGTTCCAAAACTATCACTATGGACCTCTAATATGCAGGACATACGTGGATTCTCCAACTCTAAGTGTGTTCTTCTATATCAGCAAAAGTAGACACTGCATATAAAATTAGCAACTTAACCCCCCACACGTAAGATTTGTCAATATCCGGCCGGTGCTTCCAGTCCCTACGTGAGCCTGTACTCGGTTGGGATATCTTCTGGCCACGCATCCACGCCATCCATGATGACAATGCCCATTCCGCCCATCAGATGAAGCTCGATATGGCAGTGGAACAGCCACGGGCCCGGATTATCCACATAGTATCTGAAAACGCTCCAAGAGGCCTCGCCACCGATGGAGAATTCTGTGATCCACGTGTCGCGCAAGCCAGGGGTCTCCAGGTTGAAGTCCTCGGGCCGTTCATCGATTGCCTCTTGAACACTGGTATAGTTCCAAACGCCAGAGCCAAAACCAATTCTCCAGGTTTTGCTGCCATGCTTGTGGATGAAGTGTTCAAAGGCAGCTTCATCGCCTGGCAGAGTAGAGACCTGCAGAATAAGATCGACCCAAGATCCATTCTTAGTACGGATCACCAAGTTTTCACTCTCAGTGCCGAGAGTAGCGTTGGGAAAGAATAACAATGGCTCGTCGTTTTGAAAATCGATGGGGTACAGATACTTGGTGTTCATGGTATAGTTGTAAGGTGCGCCAACGCGACCGAGTGCGAGAAGATGCTCCTCGTCAGCATTGCCAGGTCGGGGCTTGTTCGGAGGCCAAGGCTCCGCGTGGTCCGTCTGCAGCATCCACGGGAAATATGAATTTTCCTCGACCTCTGGCGTAGAAGGGTTGCCTCCATAAGACAGGTATGGTGAGTCCGACGTCTCATCGTCCTCATGCCCTTCATAGGCCATTACGGCATAACCGCCTAGTACCTGCGAGGCTCCAGAGTTGGGTATGCGCATCTGGTATCTACCCGGTTCTTGATCGAGTTTAATCATGACCGAAAAAGTCTCGCCTGCTGACATGACTGCCGAGACGAACTTCTTTGGCCTAACGTAGTTGCCGTCAACCTCGTACAGCCAAAACGGGTGATCATCAACAGAGAAGGCAATCTGAGCAATTGTGGCAGCGGCTACAATGTGGAAACTGACCCAGCCATCGTTCTTGCTTGGATCAACAGTGATGGTTGCATTTGCATTCTCTGATGCAACGCAGCCTTCCTGCACGCGTGGTGGTATAAGATCCGGACGTCTAGTGACATTCCAGGGCCCGCCTTGAACCTGGTCGAGGTCCGCTGGGAAACATCTAAAGGCATAAAAGTAAGCATTTATGAAGCTAAAAGAGAGCGCGAGTATTGCAATTGTACGCTTGCCACTTACCCTTTATCTGAAACCTCAGTGCCTGGTGGGAAGGCATCCTCAACCAGACCTGGAGCAAGCTCGCTTTGAAGGAATTCCTGACCCGGGCAGTAAAGATTGCCTACACCGTTGACCAAAATACTATCGAGGCAACTGTTGAATTTTGTCAGTCAAAGAGGTAAAGTGAGCAATTGCTAGTTACTGAACCTACAAGACAAGCATGCCCGAATCAGTAGATATCTTCCAATATTCATCGGAAGTATACTGGCTCCAATCAGAGACGACAAGATATTCGGGGTCAAGAGCAGCCTGCTCCATAGCCTTGATATCCTCTTCGTCATCGCTTATCTGTCTCCATAGTTCCGTGCGATCTTGCTTCGGCCTACGCCCTCGTCAGTTGGCATTCGAGCATCAGTGAGTGACGTGTGTGTGAGTCAGACCTGATGTGTATGGCTCCATAAAGTCCATCAACGAGAGACATTCTCTCATGAGAATGATACCAGTGATTCCCTGCAGGAGATGCCTTGAACTTGTATACAAACTCCTCGCCGGGCTTGATTGGGCGCTGCGTGAGGCCAGGTGTGCCATCAGCCCAAGGAGTGTCCTTTTGGCTGAAAGGTGCGCTCCATGTTAGTAAATTATTCAAGTTGCTAGATAGAAGAACTTCAACTTACTCGAGGCCATGCCAATGCACGGTAACATTCTTTGGCATGTCATTGTAAACCGTTATCTATTGGGCGCAGTGTGTCAATATCACATGATGGAATAATCAGCGGGGGAAAGACACTCACTTCAACGTCATCCCCTTCATCCCAAATAAGGGTTGGGCTGGGAAATTCTCCATTGGTGTGAATGAATTCTCTTTCCTGTCCATTTGGAGCACCTGACTCCCACGTAAAGCGCAAAGATTCTTTGACTGTCTTTGCCCAGACGTTGGACTGCAAGAGAGTCGCTGCTAAGAGCACCCGCGCAAAGCGACTCATGGTGAATGCCGATATTTTGGAAACAATGTCTCAATCAAAGGGGGCTGAAGATCATGTGCTTGAGACAGACGATTGAGGAAATACCTACTGGAACACCGTTCTTATATCGCAAACCTGAGCAATCGTGGCAAGACACAAGCGGCACGCGGAATTTGGGAAGAGAAATTGTGCCGAAAAGGGCAGAAATAATGCCGAAAAGACAAAAACGAAGAGGCAGCCAAGAGAAAACCCTGGCATGGTGACGCTTTCGTCGACTTCAGGTCGTACAAACGAATGCTCTCGGTGCCTTTCACGGCTACTTTTGTTGCCGGCATGACGATCACCCCGATCGTGTCCAAATAGTCCGATGACTGGCTTCAGCTGCTTTCCACTACTAGTACATATATGGAAATGTAAGAGCCGTATTAGTCGAATTAGAGGAATCTTCAAGGGAACGGAAGTTTGAAAGCAGCGTCGTGGCCCTGAATCGTGTTGGAATCTGAAGATTCCGGATTGGGAAACGCCAAGCACCATCGGCCGAGGTAGTATTTGAGACCTAACACTCCGTACACACTTGTGCAAAGCCTCTAATCTGTGTAGAGGAAAACCAGGTTAACATTGGTTAATCAAACAGCAATGATTGTAAAGCCAAAGGAACTTGAACAAATTCATGATGTGATTTTGGATTTGATGTTGGTTGGTTAGCCGTTCGTTGTTTGAATAAAATAACCTTAAAAATAAAAAATAAAACTTTAGTTTATGGAAGATTTTTATGTTGAGTACTTTTGTTGTTTTTCTTCCAATTTTTTTTTACTTTGGCTAATATATTCAACTGAATTCATATTGGTTGAGGTTTTTTTTTCTTTTGAAAGACGTTTGATTGTTAAAGTTTGCTTGAATATATTGGGGATGCGCTACAAAGCACATTCATTTCCTGTTGATTCAGTTTGACTTTAGCAGCTAAGCTCTTCAGGTATATAGCGTAGTGCCATTTCACAATTTGATTCGGTGATACAGCAGTAAATTAGCCATTGGGATAGCAATTTGTGTATTTTTAGAGTTTTTTAATTTCCCGATGTAAATATTAAGGTTTCCACGTCAACGCACTTTATCTCATTTAAGGCACCTGTTGGTTGATCTACCCGCTAACCGCAGCGGCAGGTGGCAGCTGTCAGGCCGTGTCTGTGCCGTGTCAGTGCCGGGCCGTGTCATTACACCGAAAAACCTAATACAACTACATTCCTCCCAACAAATGTGATTGCTTCCGGTAGATGCAGAACTCGTGTTAATGAATGCGGATCGGCTTCGATAAATGCCGAATTGTTTATAGATGCATGAATGGTTGCGTTGGATGAATGCAGACGCGCTCCTGACGAATGCAGCAATGTCTTTCGATGCACGCATACGGGGTTTTTGTGAATGAAGGATTGCATTACACAGTCACACAGCATGCCTCCTGAAATTGATATATATGTTGTTACGCTTGCAACCCCTCTCTCTGAAATCCTTTTCAGCTTCACCTGAGCTCCATATCTAGCTGCATACGAGATATTAATCACGCCGTCGGTTCAATTTCCTCACATCGCCCGTTTCCACTTCGCTGTGAGCAGCTGAGCAAGATGGCTCCTACGGCTACCTCGGACTCGCTTCCCCCTAAACCACAGCAGCTGCTGTGTCTCACCATCACGGGCTTTCGCAAGCCGGGATTGAGCGAAGAGGCCTACCGAGAGCACATGACTAAGATACACGCTCCCTTGGTAAGCGGCCTCATGGAAGAGTACGGGATCGTTCGATACAACATGGTAAGCCGTTTATTTTTCACCCGCTGTTACCCAATACAATACCAGTTCTCATACTGTAGCAGACCCATAACGATAGTAAAACTCGACCATTACTCTTTCAGTTATATGACCCAGAGTTCTCGAAGCTGTCCGAGTATGATTGCATCGTACAATTTGTGTTTCGACGCATGGAGGACTTCCTGAGGATGAAGGCTGATCCACGATTCATGGAAAAAGTGGCCCCCGACCACAAGAATTTCGCTGATACTTCAAGGTCGACGTGAGTTACCCTTTTCACTATAATTGATCCTTATCTAGCGTATCAAGCGGGCGTTGACAACGGTTACACTATTAGGATGACTATCGGATACTTTGAAGAGTTTTTGAACGAAGGACAGGTCGTAGCTAAATAAGTATTAGATACTTAGGGAAGGGGGCTATCTCGGAATCCTTTTAATTTATTGTTGGATCCTCTTCTAATCGTAACGATAATTACACGGGCTGGGCCTACCCGTGATTTCTATAATGCAAGGTTGTACGTTGGATTGAACTTGCCTCCTTTAAGCCGGTCTCTTGTGTTCACGCCTGTTTGTTCAGAGCGTATATCCAGACTAAATGAAAAACATGGTCCAGACCTTTTTCTCGGAAAACACATCGCGGTATAGTCGGTGAGATGTACTCACACTAAATCTTTGTCTGGTGTATGTGATCTCTGCAGTGGGTTATCTTGTACTCGTATTTCTGGCACAAGGCCATGGGAAAGAAGGGAGAGCAAAAAATATTGTTTACGTTATCGGTCAGATCGTCAAGGGGACGATTTGTAATTGCGACCACATGATCCATGAAAATGGAATCCATACCAAGAGCCTATTTATAATCCGAATCAATATTAGAGACATCAGCTCGTGATGAAGGTGCGTGGTACAAATGCCAAGGCCGAGGCTTGCTTCCTCGAATCCGCAAATATCGGTTTGCTATGTTTCCGGGACTATCTCACAGCTATCGACAATAAGCGTGTGTATGCATGCAATAGTCAGCTGGAATCTGTGCGTCCACCACACAGTACGCGATGGTTCGGCTGCTTGCATCTAGGTATGCAAGGGCGGCAACGGATGGGCACGGAATGCCTGTCGTTGGCCGGTGATACAGACTAGCTTCACTTTCAGCCCAGAAGGAATCGGCGATACTCAAAGGAGCTGCTTTTGGACCAGGGGAAAGTTTATCGGCCCAAAGGTCGGTCTCACCTCTATTCGAGCTAATATCGGTTTGTCCATGTACTTCATACTAATCGAGATACTCCTTCAGCCACGCTTCTCTCATATCAACAAATACTTTGAGTTACTTTGTCTTGACTCTTAGCCACATTTTTTCTTCAACATGGGCAAATATTCTACGGCCCATATTTCCTTATGCTACTTAGTATCATGTCTTACTTCAATATTGTTTTGCCCGGTACTAGTATCAAAGGGTTTAGGTTTAGTAGTCTTCTCTGGAGATGGGGATACCTTTCGATCCCCATTGCTTCGATCCCCATCGATCGATCACGTCCCTCAACAATATTAGTCTTAAATATTGAATGTGATTCGCTATACATGTCCGTGGACTAAACCCGTTCCCGATAATAGAGTTTCGAGCTCTCGGCTCTTCTGATTCCTGAGTCTGAAAACGGTCATGGCTACCTCGTATGATAGTTCTATGAGGTCACTTCGGAAACATTATCATGTGTGACAAAGACATTGTGTTACCTGCTCGTAGTACTTAAGTCATACGTCGGAAGGAGAATTAAAAACAGCTGATTAATCCCTCTGTTTTCATTCTTTCTGCTCGGCCTATGCTCTTCGGACGTGATGTTAGACTCAACTTCCACCATGGAGAGCATGACCATCAGCGGGTCCAGTACCAGCACCGACTCTGTTCAGGTGTTTGTTTTTGGAGATCAGAGTAGCTGTAGCCTGTCCAACCTACAGCTGCTCCTCCTGAAGAAAAACAACCCTTACTTGACGTCTTTCATTGAGCAAGCCAACTACATCCTCAGACATGAAATAGCGCAGCTTACGGCTGCGGAGCGTCAATCGTTTCCTGCTTTTTCCAGCATACAAAATCTGGTAGCTCGAGGAATAAAGAAGGAGAAGAATGCAGCATTTGAAAGCACTCTGGCAACTATTTATCAGATCTGCTGCTTTCTCAAGTAAGACGTTCTCTTTGATTATGCCAGCGCGGCCAGACTGCTTACAACGCGTAGCTACTTCGGAGATGGCCAACACGCGTATCCAACCGGTTCGAACAACTACGTGTCCGGATTATGCATCGGAGCATTAGCCGCAGCCGCCATTTCTTCGTCAAAGTCTCTCAGCGAGCTGGTGCAGACAGGTGTCGACGCCGTACGCGTGTCGCTAAGAGTTGGCCTCTTAGTTGCTCGAACGGCAGCCTTGTTCGGTCGTCCGGAGTCCGGTAGTACCTCGTCTTGGTCATACGTTGTTTCGGAGTCGCAATTTCCACTGGAACTAGCTGAAAAGGCCATTGCGTCTTACAGAGAGAAAGCCGTGAGTGAATACCGTGGTGTAAACATACGGAGGCCAATAGTTACTAAGTGCGAGTAAACAGAACATTCCACCACTCTCCTCGCCCTATGTCAGTGCCAAGGGCCAGCACTCTTGGACTGTCAGTGGCCCACCGGCAATTGTGCAGCACTTTCTGAAGTCTTCGCAATTTGGAGAGATATTGAAGTTTTCCCCTATTGCTGTGCATGCACCGTATCACGCACCACACATTTTCTCTGTCGAGGATGTTGAACACATTCTTCAAGGTGTTGGATCGGTCATCGACCTATCTGGCAAGATATCATTCATTTCCAGCTCAATCAGCCGCAAGTCTCTCAGTGAGAAGAAATTCACAGACTTGCTTTACCATGCTGTTGAAGGTATTCTCATCCTACCGCTGGATCTGGGAGAGGCAGCTGGAAACATACAGCAAGTGCTTCAGACAGTAGGCTCAATGAGCCAATGCACCTTGTTTCCAATCTCAACCAATGTTTGCCAGAGTTTCAAAACGTCATTCGAACCTGTGGTGTCGAAAAGAGTCGTGGTAGTTGACAGCATTATGGAAGCCATCGCGGCAGGTGCTGAGCCAACTTTCCCAAGCTCTGCTAAACACAGCGACTCTAAGATAGCAATCATCGGCATGTCTGGAAGATTCCCGGAATCTGCAGATATTGAATCGTTCTGGGACCTTCTTTACCAAGGGCTTGACGTTCATCGGCCTGTACCGCCGGACAGATACAACGGAGAGCTATACTATGATCCCACCGGGAAAAAGAAGAACACAAGCAAGATCAATCATGGCTGCTGGATTAACGAACCGGGTTTGTTTGATGCAAAGTTCTTCAACATCTCTCCCAAAGAAGCTGAACAATCCGACCCGGGGCAGCGCTTAGCTTTAGCAACCGCGTATGAGGCTCTTGAGATGGCAGGTGTTGTTGCTGATAGAACACCATCGACTCAACGAGACCGTGTTGGAGTTTTCTACGGCATGACCAGTGACGACTACAGAGAAGTTAGCTGTGGTCAGAACGTCGACACTTATTTCATCCCAGGTAAGTATTAGGTTCATTAAAGAGGGAGAAGAGCTCAACGTCACAAATGCTAACTCACACAAGGTGGAAATCGAGCCTTTACCCCAGGAAAGATCAATTATTTCTTCAAGTACTGCGGTCCATCAGTCAGTGTCGACACTGCATGGTAAGCCATCTACATGCCAGTCATGATGCTTGAATTCAACTGACAAAGTTTTTTGCAACCAGCTCATCCAGTCTTGCGGCTATTCACTTGGCTTGTAATTCTATCTGGCGCAATGAATGCGATATGGCCATTGCGGGTGGCACAAATGTCATGTCAAACCCCGACAGCTTTGCAGGGCTGGATCGCGGTCATTTTCTCTCGACAACAGGTATGTGTGGCCTCCACAGCAGATAAAGTCTCACGAGCTAATGCCTCTATTCACAGGCAATTGCAACACCTTTGACGATGCAGCCGACGGCTATTGTCGAGCAGACGCCGTCGGTACTGTCGTTCTGAAGAGGCTGGATGATGCAATTGCAGACCATGATCCTATCCTAGGAGTCATCCTAGGCGCTCTTACCAATCACTCTGCCGAGTCTGTGTCAATTACCAGGCCTCACTGCGGTGCTCAGGAGGAGATTTTCTCCAAGCTACTGAGTGAGACTGGCGTCCATCCTCATGAAGTCAGCTACATCGAGATGCATGGAACCGGAACCCAAGCCGGTGATGCGACTGAGATGTCTTCTGTCCTTAGTTGTTTTGCTCCATCGACAAAGCGACTGCCGCATGAAAGCCTCCATTTGGGCTCAACAAAGGCAAACGTCGGCCACTCTGAATCTGCATCTGGTGTGACCGCACTGATCAAGGTTCTGATGATGATGGAGAAGAACATGATTCCACCCCATTGTGGCATCAAGGGCAAGATCAACCACAAGTTCCCGACTGATTTGAAGGAACGAAACGTCCACATCGCCTTCAAGCCTACTGAGTGGAAGAGGCGAGAGGAGTTTAACAATATCCGCCGCACCTTTGTCAACAACTTTTCTGCAGCTGGCGGCAACACCGCATTGATTCTGGAGGACTATCCACTACTCACTGGAGGCTCAACTCTCCAGGATCCTAGGACTGCCCATGTGGTGACACTGTCTGCCAAATCTATTCCATCTCTCAAAGGAAATATCGAGAAGATGAGAGCCTATGTGCAGCAAAACATGTCCACAGAAGGCTTCCTGAGCAAGCTTGCTTACACAACCACTGCTCGGCGGATGCATCACCCTTTCCGTGTTGCAATCACCGCTGCAAACTGTGAGCAACTCCTGAGCGCCTTGAATGAAGAGGCCAAGAAAGACAGCCACAAACGCTCTCCAGAAGCACCTGTCGCTTTTGTCTTCAGTGGCCAGGGATCACAGTACAGCGCAATGGGCCAGCATCTGTTGCAATTTGCCACCTTTCGTGATGAGATCAACTCCTACGACATGTTGGCACAACGCCACGGGTTTCCCTCAATCATGCCACTGATTGATGGGTCTGTCGATATCGATGATCTTGAGCCCCTGGTTGTCCAACTCGGCACTACATGTGTTCAGATGGCGCTTGCAAGCCTCTGGGTATCATGGGGTATGCGACCAACCTACGTGCTTGGCCATAGTCTGGGCCACTACGCCGCGTTGAAAGCCGCTGGCGTTCTCACGGCTAGTGATACCATCTATCTGGTTGGTATGAGAGCT